CTATAGTAATTGGGTGATTAAATCCAAAACCATATTATGTCTCAAATAAAATAACCAAGACAATAAATAATTAAAAAATAATCATACCAAATTTATATACATTCTTCGTATTGATAAACTCTAGAAAATAATATCAAAATTTTATTCTTATATTTTTAATTTTTGTATTTACTTAAAACAACATGAATTGTTTTGATTTCTATATTTCGTCGTTGTTAATATTAACTGCAACATAACATATAACAATAAACAAAAAATAATTAACTAAATGAAACATAAATATGAAATAATAAAAAATTGTATAATTTGGAAAACTATTAGATTAGCAAATAAAGGGAAAGTTAGCCTTTTAGCCTAATTTAATTGCCAAAAGATTGTCTTTGTCTATTTATTTCCATTTGAATCTCAAAAATTAGACGCCGGAATTTAAGACCATCTAGGAATTCACGAAATTCTACAGTGCCACGTATCGCTAGTTGTACACACCACATAAGCTCCCACTTTAAGTGCAATTGTAGGACACGGCTGTGAGCATGTGATGTTGAAGCGAACCCTTCAATCAGGTAATCCGTGTATTAAAAAAAAAAAAAAAAAAAAAAAAAAAAAAGAGGGGGTTTTGTGGCGATTACAACGATGACACGCACCCCATTTGACGGGCCAAAAATTCATGAACTAACAACAAACACATAAACAGAAGTAGCCACCTTCTTGCCTAATTCCTTCTTATAACGCTCTCTTTCTCCCCACCCCACCCCAAAAGAAAAAAGAAATAGTATCATCGAATTACTTAAAACAAAGAGGAGCAAAAGAAAAACAAATAACAACTACACAAAACTCCTTTTCTCTGTGCGTGTATTTCACACACCGATGGGCCAATCATCTTCCACCGCTTTAGACCCGACCGATCGGGTTTTTCTTAGTCCGCCGCGTTTTTCTAACGAGATTGTTGAGTTTGCTGAGGATATCGTGCTTACTCGGGATTATACCGGTGATTTGCCTGACGATTGTTTGGCTTATATTTTTCAATTTCTCGGGGCTGGGGATCGGAAACAATGTTCCCTTGTGTGCAAGAGGTGGCTGCGCGTGGACGGTGTCAGTCGTTATCGGCTTTCTCTCAATGCGCATAGCGAGATATTGTCTTCTCTGCAGTCGATTTTCACGCGCTTTGATTCCGTGACGAAACTGGCTCTGCGGTGCGATCGGAAGTCCATCAGCATTAACGACGACGCTTTCGTTTTGATCTCTATCCGTTGTCAAAATCTCACGCGCCTCAAGCTTCGTGGTTGCCGCGAGATCACGGACCACGGTATTACTACATTTGCTCAGAACTGCAAAACTCTGAAGAAACTTTCTTGTGGCTCATGCACTTTCGGAGCCAAAGGTATCAACTCGGTTCTTGATCACTGCACGCTTCTGGAGGAGCTCTCCATCAAGCGGCTTAGAGGAATTCGTGATGGAATCCAGCTGATCGGTCCAGGCGCCTCCGCGGCTTCATCTTTGAAGTCAATTTGCTTGAAGGAGCTGGTCAACGGTCAGTGTTTTGAACCTTTAGTAATCGGAGCTAAAAATCTCAAAACTTTGAAAATTATTCGTTGTTTAGGTGATTGGGACAATGTATTAGATATTATTGGAGATTCAAAAAACACTTCTTTGAACGAAATTCATCTTGAAAGGCTTCAAGTAACTGATCGTGGATTAACTGCGATATCAAACTGTTCAAGTATTGAAAATTTACATATTGTCAAAGCTCCCGAGTGTACGAATAAAGGGCTTGTTTCTGTAGCTCAGAAATGCAGTTTGTTAAGGAAGCTTCACATTGATGGGTGGAGGAGTAATAAGATTGGTGATGAGGCTTTAATTGCTGTGGCCAAACACTGTCCTAATTTACAAGAACTTGTTTTAATTGGTGTTAATGCAACCCACTTAAGCTTGACAGCCATTGCCTGTAATTGTTCAAAATTGGAGAGGTTAGCACTTTGTGGGAGTGGAGCGATTGGTGATGCAGAGATTGCATGTATTTCCGCAAAATGTGTGGCGTTGAAGAAGCTTTGCATTAAAGGGTGTGCTATATCAGATCTTGGGATCGAAGCACTTGCTTGGGGGTGCCCTAATCTAGTTAAAATTAAGGTCAAGAAATGTAGAGGAGTGAGTAGTGATGTGGCGGAGTGGTTGAGAGTACGTAGAGGATCTTTAATTGTTAATTTGGATGCTGAAGAGATTGATGGCTTGGATGCTAGTGGTAGTGATGGTGGACTGCAAGAAGGTGGTTTAGAGGTTCCAATGATGGTAGGGCAAGTAAATGTTCCCGATGCCTCATCAAATATTGTTGGTAGATTGTCATATTTAAAGGTAAAGATGGGACTTGTTGCCGGTAGGAATTTGGTGGCTGGAAAATTTAGAAGATGGACTAATGGTGAAAGCAGCAGTTCTAATGACAACTTATGAATGATCTGTGAAAGATTTGGAAAAATCAATCTTGCATTAGAGACATTATTCTTGTACTTTGATAGGTTGAAATGCTTTTGTGTTTTTTGGCTTCTGTGCTTCATTATTATTTTTTTGAAAACTTGTAATTCGTTAAACGCAAAGATGGCAGAAATTGATTGTGAAAGATTTTTCTTATTGCTGCTTGACATTATGTTCCGAAAACCAGCTATGAAGATTTACTCCTTCAATTTGTTGTTTTGATATTCTCTCTTTCTTCCCCTGCATCTTTTATCTTATTCAATTGTGGGTTTAGCAAGACACATTTAAAATTATGATGTATAGACTTTTGTTTCGAGAATGATTTGTGGCCTATTGCATTAGCTATGTGTGGTCTGTGCAACTAATGCAATTATGCAAAGCTACAACCTGTTGTCCGCGTATGTAAGACTTTGGATTATGTAATATTGCTAAAATCTCTTGTAAGTGTATAAAAGGTCTGGGCATCGATTCTCATTTACGCTAGAGTTGTGTGTTATGGTTTAAGCTTATTTTGAAGTGAAAACAAGTATCTCGACTCCATGTCCCAATAAAAGTTGTAACAAATATAAAACATGTTATGTTTCTAATGGCTTCATGCATTTTATTAAAAGATTTTGGATGATAGAGTGCTCAAATGGTGTTATTCTTTTTTTGTTGGTAGTTTGGAGGATGAGAAATATTACTAATTGTTTTTCCAATCGGCTTTGTTTGGCATTATTTGCTTCTCCTTTTGGATTGATGGTTAGTCGAGTAACAAAGATGTGTTTTCAAGTAGAATCATTATGGTTTGGATTAGTCTCTTTGGCAGGCATCCTTAATTCTATCACTTCATTCTATATCCAATGAAAAGTCTTCTAGTTTCATCCACAGTGATGTCGTGCACCCGCAGGCGTATATCATCAATTTGGAGTTGTTTTTCATGTAATTTTAAGAATTGTAGTTTTGTCACCGGGGAAGCAGCGTAGTCTTGCTGTATTGAAGTCGTATCTTTTTCAACACTTTGAAAATTTATCTCAATGAAGGATAGGAAAGCTATGGCGCACAGATATTTATTGGAGACTGATATTTTGGGTTGGGACTTGCGACTTTTATTGCATTGAGTGAGTCAATACTGGAAGATGGAAGTTCTCATTTTTTGTGTAGACTAAGAAACTCAAAGTTCACGAGGATCAAAACTCCACAGTCGACACTGAAAGTTGATCGTGACTGGACCAAATGGATGTGGAATCCTATGCGGAAGTCAGCAGTTTTTACCAGCTCCCTTAGCGGTGACTCTCAGAAAAAAATTGTGTGGTTTAAAATGAGCCCATTCTGCACCCTTTTACTTTTCAGAATTCACGTTTGTTTGAATTTGATGCTTGGACAAAGGAAACTTAGAACCAATCACAGCAATTCTGTATGTTGTTAATGATGTAATGAAACCCTGTCGCTTTAATTTTGTTATTCTGATGTTGCCTTAAGTCGGTCATTTGTTTTCTTGTGGCGTTTAGAAATCAGTTTCAGTTGTTTGCAAAGAGGATCCGCGGATGTTGCCTTGTTTGATCTGGGTATAGGATCCGTTTCTGGGAAATATCTTTCAAATCACCTCAGCCAATCGCTTAGGCATCGCCAATCCAGCGTCAACACCAAAATAACGCCAAACATTACCTTAACAGTATCACATCAAATTTGGCCAGACATTACACCAAATTGGTGTAGTACTATTCAAATAGTATAAAAATATATTTTTGTTATTTATATTTATATTAATTTAATTATTATTTATAATAATAAATTCATAATAATTATATAATTAAAAAATGATAAAAAATTAAAAATAAAACTTTATTCAATACAAATATTAAACTACAATAACTAAAAATAAAAATTAATACTAATTTAAAGACATTAAAATTAAAAAAAATATAATATAAATTAAAATAGTGAGTGAAATAGATTAATTATTAATTATTATATAGAAAGAAAAAGAAATAAAATATTCTAAAGAATATTATTTTTAGTGTAATATTTAGTGCAATAGATTAAAAATACAATAGTGAAATACACTAAAAATCACACTAATTTGGTGTAAAACTTACATCAATTTGGTGTTTGTGATTGGAGATGATCTTATATTTGGTTATTTTTCAGAATATTTGAAATCTGGAAAGGTAAAGATAGAAAAACCTAAGAAAATTAAAAACAAAGATTTATCTTATAAAGTTAGGATTACGTAACATATGATTAAATCATTGATTTTGGGATATAGTAACACAATTAACAATATATATCTTATAATTAAATAAATATTGCAATAGATGTCTTTACACTATATAAATAAATGACACATAAATAACAGCATAAATTAGATCAAACTTTATACGAGAAAATAAAAACAGTTTTCATATAATTAATAAAGTTACTAAAATTTAATTCCTTTAAGAAAACAAAATTCCCGACTGTCTTTTTCTTTTTTAATTACCCAAAAGAAAAAAAAAATCCCGACTTTTATACCATATTAATGTTAAATACCAAAATTGCCCCGCTGAGTATTACAGAGTTGTAAACCCTAAACCCTTAAACATCTTCTTCCCGGTTTTTTCACTAGCAAGTAGCCGCAAATCTGTAACCCGAATACCCAAAATGGACCAGAAACTCGAAATTTTAGAGAAAAAGGTAAGCGCCTATCTTGCGGCTATAATTTTAGGAATTTTTGCCTTGATTTTGTTTATGATTAACAATAGTTTTTTTGCAATATATGATTTTATACTTCTAATTTTAACGTTCGGACTGTTACTTTAGTGGCTTGTTAGTTTTAATTATAAAAACGTTTACTTTGTATTTGGTGGCATGGAATTTTAGCTTTTAAACTGGAGTTTCAAGATGCAGAGTCCCTTATTTTTTCTGAGAATGACAAACTATTGTTCCATCAAATTTCAATCACACTCGAATTGACTGCATAAAAACGCAGCATTTACTAAAATTTAATCCTTGTGTCCGTGTTTGAACTTCTGTCACTATGTCATATTGATAATGATTCAGCTATAGTCAATTGATCAGTCAGGGGCACGCTGCTGTTGTTTTTTTTTTGTTGCTTTTAAGCTGTTATTCCAATGAGGTGCAACCATATGTTTTGACTACAAGCTTTGGGTGTTTCATTGTTTGTTTATTTATTGGGTACCTCATATTAACATTTAAGATGTTTCTAGGTTCTTGTTGGAATTGTTAAGATGGTCCAAAAGCAAGGAATGCAGGGTACTGCTGGTGGTTGGAAGGACTTTTTGAATAGTTATGACAAAAAGTTCGGCTCTAGTTTAAGTGATCCGGCTAAGAGGTCCAATGACGTTTTGGTATCTTTTCTAAAGACATTTACAAAGGAGGATGATTTAAAGGTAAAAAATAATCTAAAATTTTCTTTTTAGTGTTGATTCTTTTAAAATGACTTTCAATTACTCCTTGATAAAGCATCCTGTCAAGATGTTGAGCATATATGATTCCTTGTCATTCTCAGTTTATTGCAAAAGTACTGCAACGTCATCAGAATCGTTATATATTGGAGCTATATGAAAAGAAATCTCCTGATGATGAATCCCCTGAGCAGGTATGGTCTACTTCATTTTCATTTATTGATGGGTTGGTCCTACAATTGCAATAAAGCGATGTGTTGCAGTTCATATTCTCATTGACTGCTTTTTCTTATCCATTATTGGTATGATATAAGTTAAATCGTGGCTTGATTGCTTGTGTTTCAATCCTCCTGTGCCTTGTTTTGATAGGCATGTTGGCAAAGCTATTTGGCCTTTGTTCCATTTTGTTCCTAAAATAATAAAAATGAAATGTGTTTTCTGTAGAGTTTCTGTTTTAATATGTACTAAATGCCTGTAGCTTTATGTTCCAAACTTACATGTTTGCTGTAAGTGTAGTTTAGTGATATTGAAAACCTCGGTTGTTACTTTCTGCCTTTGTTTTAGGCTTTCATGTTTTCTTATAGCTAGTTCCCTATGTCACATTCATATGACTATATAACTTGAAAACTACTGCCAACTTCATAACGGTACATGCCTTTCTTATTAGTCATTGTAGTGTTATTACTCAATTCTTTTGTTGTGTTCTTATTGATTCTAATGCATGTATGCTAAACTTTACACTTTAATTTTTAGAAGATTCTGTTGTAATATCTGTTAATTTGTCATGGTGGCAGTGCAGAGGCTGGTCCGTTTAACTCTTCAACACCCTCAGTATGCATTGGATTATATGTTCCCATCGTGCAATGAGGTTTGGCTTCTCAATCTTTGCCCATGTTAATTACAATTGATCATTATATTGTTAACTTTATTTGGATTGCTTACATTGCTTTAAATGGGGTAGGAAATCCATGTTGGCATGTTGATACAGGGAAATTTTAATATATGTACCGATTGGAACACAACAGATTTAATTAATACTGTTAAAACATCAACACAAACACCATTTATTTACTAAACATGTAACACATCGCAATCTGTGTAACTCATTACTAAATTTTTTGTTGACACGTTTAATTGATAGGAAAATTATATGATTAATTTATTTACTCGTGTTCATAATGGTTTGATAATAACTAAACATGTAATGGAACACTAAAGTGAATTTTTCTTAATCATATATGTCAATTTTTTTGTAAATAATTCGTAGACTACATGTATTTGTAATTGCTGTTTAAATTTTAGCTTAAGATGGGCACAGTTAATTAATCGTGTTGATTTTGGTCAATTTTTGTTTAGACACTATTTCTCAATTGGTAAATAAATGTACTTCCGACATCTTTATAAATCTAGCTATTACTATAGATAAATGGTGCTGTTTAAATAGCTCAAGGAGCAAAGATGAGTTATATGGCTGTTCTCATATGTGCTTCTGAATATGAATTACTAGCTAAACATCTAGGCTTTCTGTTACTCGTGCTTTTTCAATTGGCTTTGATAACTTACGTTCAATGTGGCTAACTTAACTTTTAACTTCTGGTTTGCGTACCAGGAGTGGGTCGTTACCAAACTTGGTGACAAATCCAAAGCGATGACATCTAACACAATGTATGCTGTTGATTGTGAGATGGTTCTCTGTGAAGATGGCAGTGAGGCTTTGGTGCGGGTGTGTGTTGTTGATCGCAATTTAGAGGTATTATATGGCTTTCAACTCTTGCAATAGCATATGCTCCAATAACCCAGAAAGGAAAGAAATTTATTTCTTCAACCTTGTTGTTTTGTTATTTATGGACCAGTAAGAGTTCTTAATAGTTCAGCCTTTAAGTTTGGGCTGTTATTGATTGATGAATTTCATATACGTAATATCAGATGTTCCCTTCGCACCCATATATAATGAGATTTTGGGGTTGCTTTTTCAGGTGAAGTTGGATGAACTTGTGAACCCTAATAAAGCAGTTGCTGATTATAGATCTGAGATTACTGGAGTTACTGCTGAAGATCTGGTTGGTGTTACCTGTTCATTGGCAGAAATACAGGTAAAATGCTGTGTTTTTTTCTGGTTTTTAGGGTCATTCTCTGCATTTTTTGTTTGACATTATGTACTGCATTTTTCAGAAAAGAATGAAGAAGCTACTATCACATGGGATCATTTTAGTGGGCCACAGTTTGAATAATGACCTACATGGTAAGTTAAGCACCATTGCTTATATTTGAGCTTCTTTTGTGTAACATTGAAACAATTGTAGATTTCAGATGGGACCATGATGCAATGTAGTTACACCTCCTTATTTCTTTGCTATTGCATTATCCTTTTTTATTTTATTTTTTATACAGCGCTAAAAGTAGATCATCCAAGAGTCATTGATACCTCCTTAATCTTCAAATACGCGGATGGAAATAGAAGACCTTCTTTGAATAATCTGTGCAAGGCAAGTTCATTGATTCTATGTGCACTGGCATGTATAAATATAGTGAGGGAGGACCCTAGAACTTTCCCTTTTGTTTAGAACCTGTTATATAAAGAATTTACTCTGAGCTGTCCAGATTATCACAGCAAAGACTTGTGAAGAATCCCTTCCATTTTCTTGTTTTTTGAGCTCATTTGAGGCTTTTCTGTGGTCAAATTTATGTTTAGTGCAGTGATGAAAGGCAAGCAGCTACTGGCGGTTTTATATGTGCATCTAAAATTTCTCTTTTTGACAGTCTGTGCTGGGCTATGAAATTCGGAAAAATGGTGCTCCACATGATTGTTTAGATGATGCATGTGCTGCAATGAAACTAGTTCTTGCTGTAATAGAGCGTGGAGTTGATAATGCTATGACCATTGTTCAAGAAGATGTAAGTTTCGTCTGGTGGATCCTGCTCAATTTTAATTCTGATTTCATATTATCATATTTTGTATTTTTAAAACTGCAGGTGGCAGAAATAGACAAGGCAAAGCTACTTCTCCACAGGATACCAGTCAATGTGCCTTGTGAAGAATTACACAGAGTGATTCCTGGGGACTTCACAATCGAAGTCAAGGTTGAGTATTGTATTTTATAATCTTGCTAATCAATTTGAGTCAGTGCACCATCATCACTTACAGCAATTAAGGAATGGACAGTCTTCATGCTAGTCATCCAGAGCTTAAAAATGCACTTCAGAGGAAAAAATTAGATGTGCCACTTTTGTACATTGTATGCCTGATAATTCTTGACTTGCTAAAATTTTCTTTCTTATTAATAGTGCTTTATTCACTCAGTTTTATATGCATTCAATGGTCCTTGTTATTCAAGCAACCCCATTCCATCATATAGATATAGGGGGAGATACAGATGAGTTAATGAAATATTTTATATTCAATCAATTTTGGTCTGAGTGGATATAAGCATATCAGTTTTTAAGTATAATAATGCTACATATACAAAGTTGGGTCCAACTTTGTATCTCAACCCATGTGTCAATTGATTTGTCAACATCTCTTTAATTATAGGATGATGAGATAAGTGAACTAATTTACCAACTGAATTGTCACATGAGTTGGGATACAAAGTTTGGATCCCAACTTTGTATGTGTAGCATTACTCTTCTTAGTATTAAAATGTGATAGCATTTATCTTCAACAAGCAATAAGAGGTGGTTTTTATTTTCTTGATTTATTTTAATTTCAGTCAGATGGCTCAAATCATGATGTCTTTTCATTCATGCGCTTGAAGGGGAAATAATTTTTTTCTTGAACAACCCAGAATTAAGAACTTCAGTAACAATTAAATGTCAGTCATAATCTTTTGGTGTTGTTCTTGCGTGAGAGTAAATTGACCCAATCCTAGCAGCTGATTGAGATTTACTTGTGTTGGGTCAGTTTGAAAACTACCAACAGGGATTTTAAATTTTTAGATTTGTTCATACTATGAATTGGCCTGCTTCTTCATGCATTAGTTTACTGACTATGAATTTGTATCCATGTTAAGTTTCTAATGTGGTGACTAACTTTCTGTCAGACATCAAAAAGAGGTCAAGGAGACAAGTATTCTGCTGTTGCTATTTTTAGCAGCCCACAAGAGGCATGTCAAGCATTTGAGAATGTGGAAGGCAGCCAAGAAAAGGTATGTCAAATTTGAAGTATTTCCTGTAGAAATGCTCTGTATTTTGTAGTTGGTTCACTTTTTCGGGAATTTCTTGTATGAAGAAATCTGTGTATTCTTGTCCAACAACATAAAGAGTTCACTGGTGAGGGATAAAATAATATTCTATTTATCCACTCCAGTAGCATTTTCACCTCGTTTTGTGAACTTAGATGCCTGTTGTTTGTGTTTGTATGTAAGGGTGAGAAAGCTAGGCCTATTCTCGCTAGTTATTTGGCTGTGCTAAATTAAATCTTGTCCCTGTTTCTGTTAGGATTCGTCTGGGAGGGGGCAGAAACTTGTCAAATTCCAAACCAGCAAAGGTGTGACTGCCAGCCTATATGTTCGTAAAATGGCACGTGATGTTCCTCTTGGCCAGTTTTTGGTTAAGAGAGCTCTCGAAGGAGAGGAGAACTCAGGTGTATCAAAAAAACAGAAGATTGAGCAGACAAACAAAGAGATAGTAGCGGCATCAAATGAGTGCAAGTGTAAAGAGCACTTGAAGGAGATTGAAAGATTGAGGAAAATGGTAGACTCAAATCAGTGTGATGATCACTTGAAAGAGATAGAAAGTTTGAAGCAAGAACTGAGAGAAAAGGATTTTCAAATTTCAACGCAGGATAAGATGATATCTATCCTTAAAAAGAAAGTAGAAATGAAAAATGACAAAAAGAATAAAAGAAGGTGAATATGCTGCCGTAGAATTTTAAGCTATGTCAGTCTAGGCCAGATGCCACCGCTAATTTGCTGCATATTACGTGTGATAAGAAATTTTGGGTCGAATTTGGAACTTTGAGGAGCAGCCGGTGAATGTGATGTGGCCAATAGAAAGATAAATTTATGATATTTCTCATTGCTTTGAGTGATTGTCATTAGTTTTTAACTAGCAAAGGGAAAAACATTCCATGGTATTGTAATTCAGATGTAGAAGAAATGAGGGAATATTATGGGGTGCAGAAAATGTGGAGCTACATTGGTTTGAGTTGAGTTTTCATGGTTTGGATTGATTATTCTTCTGCCAAGCAGTTTTGGACTTGTTCTGGTTCATATGCTTATTTACAATTTCATTGTTTTATTTCTTAACTCTCTCCGTTAATGGTGTTTCAGTACTCGTTTCAGTATAGTAACAAAAGTGGTTCTTGTGTGAGCAACTGCGAACATAAAAGAAAATGGATCCATCAAAAGTATTTTGTGACCTATTTCTAATTGAAGTTAATTGGTTGGTCACCACATCGATATTGGCTGCCGTGAACCCTGTTCCTTCATTTATTGGCAAAACAAAACTTATGAAAATACATGAGCTTGAATTTCAGTGGCCATAACACCTTTCAAGTTTCAACACTTCGGAGAAGAGAGCCATGTGGAAACTGTGCTTTGTTGTATGAACAACATTAAAAATGAAAATGATAAATTTAATGAACAAATTCCTCAACAATCAAATCATTTTGTTCACGAGGAGCTTATGTACAAGTGTTTTTCATACAATTATAGACTTCACTCACTTTCATAATCTTCATTATCCCCAAAGCTGAAAACTGAAGCATCAGCAGCAATTGCCCTGATATCACTTGCCCCTGCGGAAGCTATATATGGAATCTGGCCAGGTGCAGGTTGTTTAATCCCATCAATATTTGGTTCTTTACTTGGTTTCTTACTTTTCTGAGACAATTGTCCAGTCCCCTCTGACACACTCCCTGCCTGGCTCTTAGATCCTACTCCATGGGCTGCAGATTCCCCTCCAGAACCAACACCAGCTTTTCGGTTCTTTGAAGCTCCAGTCTCTTCTCCATCACTGTCTGAGAATACATTATCATTGTCTTCATTTCCAGTCACTTCACGTTGATTGGAATTAGTTGCAACCCCGCCAGTTGGACCCGAAACATAATTTGAGCTACCATCAGATCTCTTGCTGGAAGAATCAGGTTTGGATCTTGTAGGTAAAGTACCATCATAGTCTATCATCACGACCTCAACTTGGAATCCAGGAGAAGGCAAGTTTCTCTGGAAACAGCAGCCAAAGAATCCAAATAATGGAAAAGGTATAAGAACTACACCATTTAGTATTTTAAGTCTTAGACAAAATATTGTCATTTACCTTGTCAAAACCATCAAGTTCAGAAGCATCCAATATTTTCCTGTTCTCAGTCATTGTCGTATTTAACCAACTACAAGCAAATGAAAAAGAAGGGGAAACTTTCCTTGAGAAATAGTACACATGCAAATTAAAGAGAGAGAAAAAAAATACATGCTATAACACTGATAAGCAGAATGCGGATTACTAGTAAAAAAATACAATTGCTTGTACATAAAACAAATTCAAGCTAAAATGAAGGATCGGTATACTGATCCATAAAAAGAATAAAGAATTGTCTTATGTTCTTTCAGTATAACTTCTAATAAGTTTTCATTCATAAGTTAATTAATTAAACAGCAATGCAAAAAAAGGAGAAAATTTACAAACCAGTAGAAGTCTCCCTGTCGATCATGAAACTGAATTTTAAAATCCCCTACCAATTCTGTCAGACCAGGCTCCCCTGGCAAAGCAAAGACCAAAATCCCTTTCTTTGGTGCTTTAATCCAGAAATCTTCTGGCTGCAAAAACAAAGTCATTAGGCAAAAATCACATATCAAAATTATGCACTGGCAACAAAAACTTAACTGGCAATGTAAACTGTAAACAGCTAATTTGAAAAAATTTACCATTAAATCCTTAGTTTTCGGATGCGTTCTTGTCGAGAACAGAATTCCTGTAGACAAAGGAAAGTGTCGATGTAAATATAGTTCCATATCACATTATGAAATACAACATGAAACAATGAAAGACATAATGCAATAGTCTTCATGCATGTATTAAAGCACACTCTAATTTCCTGTCTAAACTTCAGCTAATCAAAGAATGAGAGATTTTTTTACTGAGGGAAACTCAGGTCAACAATTTGCAAATTTAGCTATTTTTATTGGTATGATCAGAATTTCCAAATAAACTTTTGCTCTCCCAACAAGCATTTGGTGCTAGATCCAAAATACAGTAGAGGAACAAGTGTAATTTTGTTAAGCTAAATACAAAATAAAACAGGGAGCTCTATCACAGTACTCTGACCCCAAAAGGGGTAGGTGACAGTTCATAATATCACAATATTGTCAAAATAATTATCATGCTGAGCAGGAGAAATAGCATACCACTATGATTAGAGATTGTAATAGAGGGTCTAATCCAATAAGGGCATTGGTGAAGCCGAAATCCTCTAAGCATGCACCTGTCATACAATCATAATTTCAGTAACTTCTTGATGGTCAAGATGAAGTATTTTGAGAGCCAGATCAGTGGTGTACCTACGCCCAGGCTGAATTTCTCCATTAAAATATGTTAAGATCCGTTCAAAGTATTTGACATACCTCTAAGGAAAGCAAAAAAGAAAAAGAAATTTCAAAATAATGTAAAACGAGTAACGTTGAAGGTAAAATAATTTTATTAATAGTAACTGACAATCTGACTTGGGAGAACTAGAGCTTTCCCATCTGTGCATCTTTTCTGGTTGTAATAATCAATGGCCTCCTCAGCTGTTGGGAAGAACTGCACACAAGGCGCAAAGATAGTAATAATCCAATCATGAAAACAGCTTAAAAAACCAAAAGAAGTAGAATTCACCTCAAAAATCATTGAGCTTAAAGGATTGATGACAAAACCTCACCTTAAGGAATAAAAGAAGGCTACAAATCATTAATCCTGTTCTCGCCATACCAGCTTTACAGTGAACAACGACCACATTTAAAATGTCTTCTTTCAACCACGAGTAGGCACTTTGACAAAATGATGATATAAGCTGAATAGGGGGACAGTTATGGTCATCAAAGGGGAAGCATGCAACCTGCAAACATTCGGACAAATCATATATAAAAGAACTGGAAAACTATATTGTGCATTAGTTGATAAACAACACATAATCCAGTATTAGATTTGTCAATTTCTTGCACAATCTTTACCGGTCATAATATTCAAAACTTTGTCATTAGTTTTTAACTAGCAAAGGGAAAAACATTCCATGGTATTGTAATTCAGATGTAGAAGAAATGAGGGAATATTATGGGGTGCAGAAAATGTGGAGCTACATTGGTCTGAGTTGAGTTTTCATAGTTTGGATTGAATTCTTCTGCCAAGCAGTTTTGGACTTGTTCTGGTTCATAGCTTATTTACAATTTCATTGTTTATTTCTTAACTCTCCGTTAATGGTGTTTCAGTACTCGTTTCAGTATAGTAACAAAAGTGGTTCTTGTGTGAGCAACTGCGAACATAAAGAAATGGATCCATCAAAGTATTTGTGACCTATTTCTAATTGAAGTTAATTGGTTGGTCACCACATCGATATTGGCTGCCGTGAACCTGTTCCTTCATTTATTGGCAAAACAAACTTATAATTATGAAATACATGAGCTTGAATTTCAGTGGCCAACACTTTCAAGTTTAACACTTCGGAGAAGAGAGCCATATGGAAACTGTGCCTTGTTGTACGAACAACATTAAAATGAAAAATGATAATTTATGAACAATTCCTCAACAATCAAATCATTTGTTCACGAGAGCTTATGTACAAGTGTTTTTCATACAATTATAGACTTCACTCACTGCCCTAGAACTTTCCCTTTTGTTTAGAACCTGTTATATAAAGAATTTACTCTGAGCTGTCCAGATTATCACAGCAAAGACTTGTGAAGAATCCCTTCCATTTTCTTGTTTTTTGAGCTCATTTGAGGCTTTTCTGTGGTCAAATTTATGTTTAGTGCAGTGATGAAAGGCAAGCAGCTACTGGCGGTTTTATATGTGCATCTAAAATTTCTCTTTTTGACAGTCTGTGCTGGGCTATGAAATTCGGAAAAATGGTGCTCCACATGATTGTTTAGATGATGCATGTGCTGCAATGAAACTAGTTCTTGCTGTAATAGAGCGTGGAGTTGATAATGCTATGACCATTGTTCAAGAAGATGTAAGTTTCGTCTGGTGGATCCTGCTCAATTTTAATTCTGATTTCATATTATCATATTTTGTATTTTTAAAACTGCAGGTGGCAGAAATAGACAAGGCAAAGCTACTTCTCCACAGGATACCAGTCAATGTGCCTTGTGAAGAATTACACAGAGTGATTCCTGGGGACTTCACAATCGAAGTCAAGGTTGAGTATTGTATTTTATAATCTTGCTAATCAATTTGAGTCAGTGCGCCATCATCACTTACCGCAATTAAGGAATGGACAGTCTTCATGCTAGTCATCCAGAGCTTAGAAATGCACTTCAGAGGAAAAAATTAGATGTGCCACTTTTGTACATTGTATGCCTGATAATTCTTGACTTGCTAAAATTTTCTTTCTTATTAATAGTGCTTTATTCACTCAGTTTTATATGCATTCAATGGTCCTTGTTATTCAAGCAACCCCATTCCATCATATAGATATAGGGGGAGATACAGATGAGTTAATGAAATATTTTATATTCAATCAATTTTGGTCTGAGTGGATATAAGCATATCAGTTTTTAAGTATAATAATGCTACACATACAAAGTTGGGTCCAACTTTGTATCTCAACCCATGTGTCAATTGATTTGTCAACATCTCTTTAATTATAGGATGATGAGATAAGTGAACTAATTTACCAACTGAATTGTCACATGAGTTGGGATACAAAGTTTGGATCCCAACTTTGTATGTGTAGCATTACTCTTCTTAGTATTAAAATGTGATAGCATTTATCTTCAACAAGCAATAAGAGGTGGTTTTTATTTTCTTGATTTATTTTAATTTCAGTCAGATGGCTCAAATCATGATGTCTTTTCATTCATGCGCTTGAAGGGGAAATAATTTTTTTCTTGAACAACCCAGAATTAAGAACTTCAGTAACAATTAAATGTCAGTCATAATCTTTTGGTGTTGTTCTTGCGTGAGAGTAAATTGACCCAATCCTAGCAGCTGATTGAGATTTACTTGTGTTGGGTCAGTTTGAAAACTACCAACAGGGATTTTAAATTTTTAGATTTGTTCATACTATGAATTGGCCTGCTTCTTCATGCATTAGTTTACTGACTATGAATTTGTATCCATGTTAAGTTTCTAATGTGGTGACTAACTTTCTGTCAGACATCAAAAAGAGGTCAAGGAGACAAGTATTCTGCTGTTGCTATTTTTAGCAGCCCACAAGAGGCATGTCAAGCATTTGAGAATGTGGAAGGCAGCCAAGAAAAGGTATGTCAAATTTGAAGTATTTCCTGTAGAAATGCTCTGTATTTTGTAGTTGGTTCACTTTTTCGGGAATTTCTTGTATGAAGAAATCTGTGTATTCTTGTCCAACAACATAAAGAGTTCACTGGTGAGGGATAAAATAATATTCTATTTATCCACTCCAGTAGCATTTTCACCTCGTTTTGTGAACTTAGATGCCTGTTGTTTGTGTTTGTATGTAAGGGTGAGAAAGCTAGGCCTATTCTCGCTAGTTATTTGGCTGTGCTAAATTAAATCTTGTCCCTGTTTCTGTTAGGATTCGTCTGGGAGGGGGCAGAAACTTGTCAAATTCCAAACCAGCAAAGGTGTGACTGCCAGCCTATATGTTCGTAAAATGGCACGTGATGTTCCTCTTGGCCAGTTTTTGGTTAAGAGAGCTCTCGAAGGAGAGGAGAACTCAGGTGTATCAAAAAAACAGAAGATTGAGCAGACAAACAAAGAGATAGTAGCGGCATCAAATGAGTGCAAGTGTAAAGAGCACTTGAAGGAGATTGAAAGATTGAGGAAAATGGTAGACTCAAATCAGTGTGATGATCACTTGAAAGAGATAGAAAGTTTGAAGCAAGAACTGAGAGAAAAGGATTTTCAAATTTCAACGCAGGATAAGATGATATCTATCCTTAAAAAGAAAGTAGAAATGAAAAATGACAAAAAGAATAAAAGAAGGTGAATATGCTGCCGTAGAATTTTAAGCTATGTCAGTCTAGGCCAGATGCCACCGCTAATTTGCTGCATATTACGTGTGATAAGAAATTTTGGGTCGAATTTGGAACTTTGAGGAGCAGCCGGTGAATGTGATGTGGCCAATAGAAAGATAAATTTATGATATTTCTCATTGCTTTGAGTGATTGTCATTAGTTTTTAACTAGCAAAGGGAAAAACATTCCATGGTATTGTAATTCAGATGTAGAAGAAATGAGGGAATATTATGGGGTGCAGAAAATGTGGAGCTACATTGGTTTGAGTTGAGTTTTCATGGTTTGGATTGATTATTCTTCTGCCAAGCAGTTTTGGACTTGTTCTGGTTCATATGCTTATTTACAATTTCATTGTTTTATTTCTTAACTCTCTCCGTTAATGGTGTTTCAGTACTCGTTTCAGTATAGTAACAAAAGTGGTTCTTGTGTGAGCAACTGCGAACATAAAAGAAAATGGATCCATCAAAAGTATTTTGTGACCTATTTCTAATTGAAGTTAATTGGTTGGTCACCACATCGATATTGGCTGCCGTGAACCCTGTTCCTTCATTTATTGGCAAAACAAAACTTATGAAAATACATGAGCTTGAATTTCAGTGGCCATAACACCTTTCAAGTTTCAACACTTCGGAGAAGAGAGCCATGTGGAAACTGTGCTTTGTTGTATGAACAACATTAAAAATGAAAATGATAAATTTAATGAACAAATTCCTCAACAATCAAATCATTTTGTTCACGAGGAGCTTATGTACAAGTGTTTTTCATACAATTATAGACTTCACTCACTTTCATAATCTTCATTATCCCCAAAGCTGAAAACTGAAGCATCAGCAGCAATTGCCCTGATATCACTTGCCCCTGCGGAAGCTATATATGGAATCTGGCCAGATGCAGGTTGTTTAATCCCATCAATATTTGGTTCTTTACTTGGTTCCTTACTTTTCTGAGACAATTGTCCAGTCCCCTGTGATACACTCCCTGCCTGGCTCTTAGATCCTACTCCATGGGCTGCAGATTCCCCTCCAGAACCAACACCAGCTTTTCGGTTCTTTGAAGCTTCAGTCTCTTCTCCATCACTGTCTGAGAATACATTATCATTGTCTTCATTTCCAGTCACTTCACGTTGATTGGAATTAGTTGCAACCCCGCCAGTTGGACCCGAAACATAATTTGAGCTACCATCAGATCTCTTGCTGGAAGAATCAGGTTTGGATCTTGTAGGTAAAGTACCATCATAGTCTATCATCACGACCTCAACTTGGAATCCAGGAGAAGGCAAGTTTCTCTGGAAACAGCAGCCAAAGTATCCAAATAATGGAAAAGGTATAAGAACTACACCATTTAGTATTTTAAGTCTTAGACAAAATATTGTCATTTACCTTGTCAAAACCATCAAGTTCAGAAGCATCCAATATTTTCCTGTTCTCAGTCATTGTCGTATTTAACCAACTACAAGCAAATGAAAAAGAAGGGGAAACTTTCCTTGAGATATAGTACACATGCAAATTAAAGAGAGAGAAAAAAAATACATGCTATAACACTGATAAGCAGAATGCGGATTACTAGTAAAAAAATACAATTGCTTGTACATAAAACAAATTCAAGCTAAAATGAAGGATCGGTATACTGATCCATAAAAAGAATAAAGAATTGTCTTATGTTCTTTCAGTATAACTTCTAATAAGTTTTCATTCATAAGTTAATTAATTAAACAGCAATGCAAAAAAAGGAGAAAATTTACAAACCAGTAGAAGTCTCCCTGTCGATCATGAAACTGAATTTTAAAATCCCCTACCAATTCTGTCAGACCAGGCTCCCCTGGCAAAGCAAAGACCAAAATCCCTTTCTTTGGTGCTTTAATCCAGAAATCTTCTGGCTGCAAAAACAAAGTCATTAGGCAAAAATCACATATCAAAATTATGCACTGGCAACAAAAACTTAACTGGCAATGTAAACTGTAAACAGCTAATTTGAAAAAATTTACCATTAAATCCTTAGTTTTCGGATGCGTTCTTGTCGAGAACAGAATTCCTGTAGACAAAGGAAAGTGTCGATGTAAATATAGTTCCATATCACATTATGAAATACAACATGAAACAATGAAAGACATAATGCAATAGTCTTCATGCATGTATTAAAGCACACTCTAATTTCCTGTCTAAACTTCAGCTAATCAAAGAATGAGAGATTTTTTTACTGAGGGAAACTCAGGTCAACAATTTGCAAATTTAGCTATTTTTATTGGTATGATCAGAATTTCCAAATAAACTTTTGCTCTCCCAACAAGCATTTGGTGCTAGATCCAAAATACAGTAGAGGAACAAGTGTAATTTTGTTAAGCTAAATACAAAATAAAACAGGGAGCTCTATCACAGTACTCTGACCCCAAAAGGGGTAGTTGACAGTTCATAATATCACAATATTGTCAAAATAATTATCATGCTGAGCAGGAGAAATAGCATACCACTATGATTAGAGATTGTAATAGAGGGTCTAATCCAATAAGGGCATTGGTGAAGCCGAAATCCTCTAAGCATGCACCTGTTATACAATCATAATTTCAGTAACTTCTTGATGGTCAAGATGAAGTATTTTGAGAGCCAGATCAGTGGTGTACCTACGCCCAGGCTGAATTTCTCCATTAAAATATGTTAAGATCCGTTCAAAGTATTTGACATACCTCTAAGGAAAGCAAAAAAGAAAAAGAAATTTCAAAATAATGTAAAACGAGTAACGTTGAAGGTAAAATAATTTTATTAATAGTAACTGACAATCTGACTTGGGAGAACTAGAGCTTTCCCATCTGTGCATCTTTTCTGGTTGTAATAATCAATGGCCTCCTCAGCTGTTGGGAAGAACTGCACACAAGGCGCAAAGATAGTAATAATCCAATCATGAAAACAGCTTAAAAAACCAAAAGAAGTAGAATTCACCTCAAAAATCATTGAGCTTAAAGGATTGATGACAAAACCTCACCTTAAGGAATAAAAGAAGGCTACAAATCATTAATCCTGTTCTCGCCATACCAGCTTTACAGTGAACAACGACCACATTTAAAATGTCTTCTTTCAACCACGAGTAGGCACTTTGACAAAATGATGATATAAGCTGAATAGGGGGACAGTTATGGTCATCAAAAGGGAAGCATGCAACCTGCAAACATTCGGACAAATCATATATAAAAGAACTGGAAAACTATATTGTGCATTAGTTGATAAACAACACATAATCCAGTATTAGATTTGTCAATTTCTTGCACAATCTTTACCGGTCATAATATTCAAAACTCAGCAGCACAAGAAGGTAGATAATGTAATTGATACTATTTTCTCTCTTCTTTTGGACACACAGATCTTTGTAATTCACAATGATATCTGGAAAATGTGTGATCTTATAATTCAGTACTATATTGATGTAGACACATAACATATTATATAGTAAAAGATCTCCAACCATGAAAAGCTTAATGTCACATCTCATCCACAAGACAAAGAACTATGATTTCTTCTTCTTTGTCCATAATTTATTCAAGATGAAAGCATAAAGTGGTTAAAGTCTAACAATGTGATTCAAAGAACAAGCTTATCTTGACACAAGTTTTTTTCAATTTTTTAAAGCCAGGAGAGATTGTGGACTATTGCTTCAACATGCAATCACAGCAAAGTAGCCATTTCTAACAAGAACTTAAGTTATTTCATAGAGCTGACATCAGTAACTTACCCATGCTAAGTTAATTTTAGAAATTTTAAACTGAAACACTATATGTCAATGAAATAAGTCTTCTTAAAGTAACTTTGAATATCCCAGTCTTTGCACAGATATAAAAGATTTAAAAGCAAACCTTTAACATTCATACACAATAAGAACATAATAAATTGCCAATTTACAGAGTGAGACCAGAAATCAGCACTGATTGACGACACGAAATCAATTGCAGTTCTTATAACATGAGTTAGGCATGAGAATGCAAACTTCTAAAATTCTTTCGAATCCACCAAAATATATACATACGTAGAGAGAAACATCTCATGTTCAACCACCAGCCAGATAATTTTTAAAGCAATGACAAGAAGAAACTACCTTCCCCTCATATAGCGATGCATCATACAATCTCTCCCTCCAATAACATGAAGCAATAAGATGACTTATTCATATAGAAGTATAGAACACAACTCTGTTAACATTTGCTTAGGCATGAGAATGCAAACTTCTAAAATTCTTTCAAATCCACCAAAATAAACACATACATACAGAAAAATATCTCATGTTTAACCACAACCCACATAATTTATGAAAGCAATAGCATGAAGAAAGTACCTTCCCCTCGAATAGTGATGCATCATACAATCTCTCTGAACAAAGATTATACACCTTATATTTTCCCTACACATAAAATGTTGATTTTATTAGACAATGATTTTCCAATAAAAAAAATTTGATAGAATTTACAAGGAGTTGATCAAGCTTGGCAAAATGTAGAACTAGATTCAAATAGTCGACTCGAAGTAAAGCCAAACAAGCATAAAACTTCAACTGTGAAATTTTGGCATGTCAAGCCATCCACAATAGGCCACTACCAACTACACTGATGATATAGCAATGAGAAAAAAAAAAAAAAAAAAAAAAAAAACAATGTAGTTAAGAATTTAAAACTCAAAATAGTTGTGGAGGTTGAGCAAAATATTTTTTGCTAACTATTTTGACGATTGTATCCACCATAGCAGAATTTACAAAAGGTTTTCCATTAGTTTATCCCTGAAATGAGACAAAGCACTCATTCAATATTTGGAAGCATATCATCTTATCAGTGGAAGCAAATATCATGTAATAAGCATCCCAATGTAAATTATTTATTTTGATGGAAAAAGAACCCAATAGCATACACCTAACTCCAGATATATATATAACCAGCATGACAATAGGTGATTGAGCAGCAAGGCGATCATTCTTCCTCACTTGGTTCTTGAGCTTTATTTAGGCCAAGCAATCATATTGTGGTGCTATAGGAAGGGCATTAGACACTTGCCCCTTCCTAACCCAATATTTATCCAGAAAAGAAAATAAAATCAAACAAATAGATAAACAAGACAACACTGATTCAAGTCTTAAAATTTACAACTATAGAGTACCTTGTGATGAGTTTCAAAAAATTGGATGACTTCTTCCATGTGATTTCTATAGAAGCCCTGCGTCACAATTTTTGTTAATAATGTGATAAAAGCAATAAAATCTCTTTTAACTAAAAATATCATGGTGATATATGTTAACCTCAAAATATCCAAAAAATCCTGAGCTTATATCACCAGCAGGGAACCCCATTGCAATTATATTTTCAGTAATATAAGTCATATCCAAATCAAATCCTCCTTCCTGCATATTGTGCATAATATTGTGTCAAATGATCAACAATCAACTATTGCAGTGTGATTAAATGGAAAAGGTAAACTACCAGCAGTGGTGCACAGATAAGTAACCTGGTATCTTCGTTTATTTTGAGATACAATATGGCGTGCCTTGACCTGCACTGCCTTTACTGCATTCTTAGATGAGTCAAATAGACCTTTTGTAAATGAACCAAGCACACCAGCTGGTGAAATTGTGGAGGTGCCTTCGACACTCTTATCCTGTACAGGAGTGATTGAGGGTAAACGCAATCCAAGCTCGCTAGTAAAACGTGTAAATTTCGACATCCCTGCATTTCCAGCATGTGGGCTTTCTTGTGGTGGCACAGGCTGCGGAAGTTTCACAGCTTTAGCCCCAGATGATATGTTGGAAGCAGGAGATAAATTAGACAGTTGAGATTCCTGTGCACTACTGTTAGGCTCATTAACATGGGTTGAAGCAGGTTCAACATTAAGAGCTTTATGAGGAGGTTCAAGATTAGAAGCTTTATGAGAAGCTTCGGCTGGAGGTTCAATTTTAGAAGCTTTATCAGTAGCTTCAACATTAGAAGCTTGCGTTGGAGGTGCAATGTTAGAAGCTTTATCAGAATCTTTAACATCAGAAGCCTTAGCAGAATGTTGAGAAGCTGAGTCAGCAGATTCTGAATCCATGTCGCTGCAAAATATAGGTCTAAACACTAATATTGATCAAGACATCAAACTAAACCAAATAAAACATTCGTAAGCAATTTACTACATCGATAAATCAAGCTATTAATTTCCATTCCAGATGATAATTCAAATGCAATTCATTATCTGGACTGTTAATTATGATTTACGTTTATTTTTCGTTTTAACATTAACACTCAAAATATTTTACATTTATGAAAAATATTTTACATTTATGAAACAATAAACTACTTGATTGAAAATAAATATTTGCATTGCATTTGCCTATATGAAGCAAAGGTAAACAAACTGAGATCTGGTAATCCAATGGTTCGAAAATTGAGCGTAAATATTTGGATTCATAATGTGGATAGGTATTGACAAAGGCAAGACATTGAATCACTCACCAGAATATGAATCAAAATTTCAACAGAGATCGATAGATGCTGCGTAGTTTTGCGTGTGATTTGATGGAGTATTGCTTAGTGTGGCCTCATTTCAGCGTTGGAAATTAAGGAGAAGCTTGCATAGAAGTTCGTGACCCGCAACAATCAAAACGTAGAGCACCCGCTCACGCCGGTCAAAATTATTTTCTTTACGCTAATTCTGCATTCTAACAAAATCCGGTAAATCTGGAAGAGCTACCATTTTGGGCCTGGCCATAAGAAGCCCATTATGTCTTCTTATTCGCTGTTTTCTGATTTTGATTGTTGTTAAATGCAAGTTCAGTTTATCCAATCAATTTTGGTATTGAATCATTTAATGGGATTATTTAAACACCCGAGGCCGAGGTTTGGTCTAACTTCTAACATCAAGGAGGGCAGAAAAGTAAAATGACACATAATATTTATCACTTTAATAATTAATAAAAAAGGAGGGAGTAAAATGGCCGTAACATATACAATTATTGAATTATTAATGATTAATTAAAATAAAAACTTAATTATAAACAATAGTATAAAAATATTAAAAGAACCCAAAATAAAAAGCCTCGTACCCTCTCTTCCCCATCTTCTGACAACGAGAACTTCTTTTTTTTTATTTTGTGTTTTTCTCTTTGGATATGTATAATTATTTGTTGGGCATTCGACATTAATTTGATAATTTATCATAGTCTTTGAAAGAGGTGGAGCACTGGAGCTATTGGTTTGGGGGAAATAGATTTCGGATATGGTAGTGGTGCACAAGTGGTAAGGGCTGTTATGTCGTACGTAGGGTAGGGTGCGAAGATTGGTTGTGGTGCTACTACAGTGGGAACAATTGGGTTGAACGATGGAGTGAGTGGGGCACTGAAGCCAAGCTGCCGTAGCAATGGGGGAACTCCTCCCATCCCCTCCTTTTTTTTTTTTTGTTTTTTAATTGGGATTTAGTTCGTTTTGTTTCTTTTAAATTTGAATTTTCTTTGTTTGTTTGTTTCATAGATTTTGTTATACAGTGAATTCTTAGGACATGAATTCTCGTCACGTGTCTTGGGACTAAATAACTGGAGCATGAACTCTCGTCACGTGTCTTGTGACTATACATCTGTCCAGGTTGCGTGTCATAGTTAGAAGATGTTACTTTATTTGTAAGGTTATCATAAATTACTTCAACAATAAGGTTTAGGGTTGAATTGTCATTCAAGTCGTGTGTCATTTTGTGAGAAGACTATTTCAGTAATAAGTCTCCAATAAAGGTGGTTTGTCAGGTCACGTGTTAAATGATGAGAGGGTTGTTTCATGAGTAAGACCACTCGTGCAAAAGTATAAATATGGGTTTTTCACCCCAAAAAGAGATCTAAAATTTTATTTTCTCAATAGTTAAGAGCAATGAAAACAAATAGAGTTTGCAAACATATGAATAAAATAGCAGTTTGCATCCGTACATTTTGTCTATCCCTTTATTTCTTTATTCGTATTATTATTATCGTTGATCATTGGTTCAACATTATATTTTTTAATCTCTAATAGACCCTTGCGCGGACTCCCTCGAAGGCTTGCATACTTATTGTTGGTGTAAGAAATCACAACAACAGATTTAAATTTGGATTAGATTTCTTTTTGGTTTAGTTCAAATTGGAGTGCTATGTAGCCGAATTTGTACGGACTGGAGGCGGGTGCGACGATAGGGAAGAAGGTTGGGTTGCTGGGAATGAATAGTTTGAAATCATTTGACTACATTCAGTTAAATCTAACGAGAAAATGCTAACGGCAGGGACTTCTGCGTTATTACCCATACTTCAGGGGATCCATCAATTTCCAAACCTCATAATCCGTATTTAATACACTTTAAATAGGGATTACTTACACTACCTTATTTTTTTTAATTTTAAATCATCAACATCTTTATGTATGAATAAAATAATTCCCTTAACAAATTTCTTTTTATTATAAATTTAAATTATTAAAATAAATAAATAATATAGGAGATTCTAGATTCTTTTATTTCTTGTATAATTTCATTTTATATTTTTTGTAATTATCTATTTATAATTGTTATATTAAAGAAAATTAAAAGATAAAAATTTATGTAACCATTTTAAATAAAAAAATAAGTTAATACAATTTAACCCAAATAATATTTTAAGAAAGTAAGATGCAAGAAAGCATAGAAATCAAAATTTGGGCAACAAGGAAACAGAGGAGCAATTTTGATGGAGAAGAAGGATCTGAAATGAATCCCTAAAAGGTGTACTGTTCATTAATGAAAAGGGAGAATATATACAGCCAACAGTATAACCGCCTAACAACTTACTCTAATATCCTTATGATATCTGTAAAGTGTAAATACAAATGAAATGAAAAGAATACAAATTGAAATGAAATGAAATACAATCAGATACATATATCAGCATATTTAGGTGTTGGCTAAACTACAAGTCGTTTGTCCAGTGTCTTCTAACACCCCCCCGCAAGATGGAGAGTAGAGATTGACTACTTCCATCTTGGAGAGATGGGAGTACAGCAGATAAGAAGGCAAAGCTTTAGTAAAAATATCAGCCAGCTGATTATTAGAAGACACGTGAGCAGTAGATACAATCCCAGCTTGAATTTGATCCCGAATAAGATGACAATCAAGCTCGATATGCTTGGTCCGTTCGTGAAACACGGGGTTGGCAGCAATGTGAAGAGCGGCTTGATTATCATAAAGTAATAGAGCAGCTTGAGTATGTGAGATGCCAAGATCTTGAAGTAAATACCGAAGCTAAAGTAATTCAGAACAAGTAGTAGCCATAGATCGGTATTCCGCTTCAGCGGAAGATCTGGAAACCGCATTTTGTTTCTTGGATTTCCAAGAAACCAATGAAGTACCAAGGAATATGCAATACCCTGTGGTTGACCGACGAGTATCCGGGCAAGAAGCCCAATCTGAGTCACAATAGGCACGAAGCTGAAAAATGGATGAAGAGGACAGCAAAATCCCTTGTCCAGGGGCTGCTTTAATGTATCTTAAGACCTTGTAAGCTGCTGCCAAATGACTGGAGGAGGGTTTATCCATGAACTGACTCAACAATTGTACATCAAATGAGAGGTCTGGCCGAGAGAGAGTCAAGTATATCAGCTGGCCAATCAATCTCCTATAAGTAGATGGGTTTTGGAGTTGCACGCCCTCTATTTTGCTGAGTTTAAAGTTTTGATCAAGTGGAAGTTTAAGGGGGGTACAGCCAAGCATGCCGGAATCTGCCAAAATATCTAAGGCATACTTCCTTTGAGAAATGTGAATGTCTTTGGATGATCGAGCAATCTCTGAACCAAGAAAGTAGCGAAGACAGCCAAGGTCCTTAATTTTGAACTTATGGTTAAGGAAAATTCCAAGTGAATCAATAGAAGATTGAGAATTACTAGCAAGTAATATATCATCCACATAGACTAATAAGGCAATAAAGGAAGAACCATCTTGCTTTGTGAATAAGCTATAATCAGCTTTTGATTGGATAAACCTATATTCAAGAAGAGAGGAGGTAAGCTTGAAATTCCATTCTCTTGATGCTTGTTTAAGGCCATAAAGACTCTTCAGCAATTTACAAACTTGGTGTGGCTGCCCCTTAGTGTACCCGGGTGGTTTTTTCATGTAAATCTCTTCTTGCAAATCTCCATTAAGAGAGGCATTGTTCACATCAAAATGATGCAAATGCCATCCTTTGATGGTAGCAATAGCAAGGAGACCTCTCACAGTGACAAGTTTAGCAACAGGAGAGAAGGTCTCATGAAAGTCTATGCCCTCTTTTTGGGTGTATCCTTTGGCTACTAATCTAGCCTTAAGTCTTTCAACATTACCATCAGACTTAAATTTAATCTTGTAAACATACTTACAATCAATAGCTTCTTTTCCAGGAGGTAATTCAGTGAATGTCCAGGTCTGGTTATTTTCTAGTTCTTCAATCTCAGCTTCCATAGCCTTACACCAACCAGGATCCTTCAAGGCTTGTCTATAAGAGTAGGGTTCGGTTTGGACAGAAATGGAAGTAGTGAAAGCTTGAAAAATGGGACTGAATTTATGATAAGATAAACAACTATTTAATGGAAAAGACTTACCACTAACAGCAGATGCAGTCCTGGAAATGGATTGAGCAGGAGGCGCAAGCATGGTTTGAGAGCAGTGATAGTCCTTAAGGTACTGTGGAGCTGTTCGAAGTCTGGTGGACCTCTTGAGAGCAGGTGGGGGATGATTTGGAGGGGTGGGTGAAGGTGGGGAAGGAGGAGGGAGAGGTGGGGATGGGATTGTAGTGTGGGATGGTGGAGATGTTGCAGGATAAAGAGGGGAAGGTGGGGAAAGTGGGGCTGTGGGAGGAGGGTCAGAAATGGGTGTAAAGTAAAAAGGTGAACATGATTGTGAAGAAGAGGAAGATGAGTGTGATGTTTGGTGGAAAGGAAAAATGGACTCATGAAAAATAACATCTCTTGAAATGAAAATGGTGTGTGTTGAGGGATCCAATAATTTGTATCCTTTTGTACCAAAAGGATAGCCTAGAAAAACACACCTGCAGCCCCTAGGATCAAATTTTGTTCTAGCATGTAAGAGAGTGGCTGCAAAGCATAAAGAGCCAAAAACCTTCATGTGAGCAAATTGTGATTTCTTATTAAAAATGATCTCAAAAGGAGTCTTATTTTGTAAAATAGGGGTGGGAAGCCGATTTATGATGTAGGTGGCTGTAAGGATGCAGTCACTCCAATATGTAAGAGGCAAGTTGGATTGGAATCTCAATGCTCTAGCCACATTTAGTAAGTGTTGGTGCTTCCTCTCAACAATGCCATTTTGTTGGGGGGTTTGCACACAACTCTTATGATGAATTATGCCTTTTTCATTGAAAAAATTGGTCATGCAAAACTCAGCACCATTATCACTTTTAATTTTGAGTCCAAATTGTGTTTCCACCAAATTGTAGAAGGAAGTAATGCAGGTTTTAGTTTCAGCTTTGGAATTAAGTAAGTAAACCCAAGTGGATCTAAAGAAATCATCCACTATGGTTAAGAAATAACGTGATCCATCATATGCAATAGTGGAATGAGGTCCCCATAGGTCACAATGGATTAATTCAAAAATCCTAGAAGAAGTGTGCTTACTGTGTGGAAAAGATAATCTGTGGAACTTGGCAAGTGGACAAACAACACAAGGATTTTCATTAATAGTAGGAACATGCTTGCTTATAATTGGATCAGAGATCATTCTTAACCTAGAAATGGATAAATGGCCTAGGCGAAAATGCCATAGATTGATTAACATTGTGAACCATAGAGGTGTGTGCAGTAAAAGGTGTATAAAATGAAAGGGATTGAGTAAGGGCTGAAGGAGAGACGTCTGAACATATGAAGTGGTATAAACCATACTTGAGCTCACCCTTCCCAATCGTTTTCCAAGATGGCAGGTCCTATATAAAGCAGTATTTAGAAAAAAACATCAAGCAACAAGTTAGGTTATGAGTCAACTTGGTGGCAGAAATTAAATTGAAAGAGAAGGATGGGACACATAGAACATCCCTTAAAATGATGGTATTGGTCAATTTAACATGACCAATATGTGTGATAGGAGCTAAACTCCCATTAGGAAGCTTAACGGAGTAAGCAACAGCGGAAGAAACGATGGTAAGAAAAGAAGGGCTGTAGACCATATGGTCTGTAGCACCGGTGTCTAAAATCCAATTTGAAGAACAATGAGGTTAGGTGCTCTGTGTGTGTGAAAAAAAACAAGAAGATACACCAGACATATTTGAAGGATGAACAGAAGCTACTATTGAAGAGTCCTTTGGTTGGAGCAAGGACAGCAGCTACTGGTATTGATGCTTGGTCAAATTAACCCTGTCATCACTAGAATTATCCACATCAGGAATAACAGAATATGAGGCCTGATTGGCAAGTATAACAGAATGGGGCTACTACTTGGCGTGTAACTTATGGCCCGGGGGATAGCTGTTCAATTTGTAGCATTTCTCAACGGAATGTCCAGTGAGGTTACAGTGGGAGCAGACTGGAGCAACAGCATTGCCAAGCTTAAAGCAGGTTTCCATCGAGTGGCCAGAAATCTTGCAGTGAGTGCAGTATGGCCGATCCTTCTTGGGGTTAGGGTTTTGTTTGGTTGAGTATTTGGATGAAGGGAACGGTTTCTTAACAGCAAGGGCCATGGTCTCTGAAGAAGGAATAACAGAGGTTAATTGAGAATGGCGTTCTTGTTGCTGGATTAGGGAAAACACCTTGGTAATGGGTGGAAGGGGATCCATCAACATAATTTGGTCTCTGATGGGAAAATATGATTCATTAAGTCCCATCAGAAACTGAAGAACACAATCCCTCTGATAACGATCCATAAGAATTTTTAAAGTACCACAAGTGCATAAAGGAAATGGATCGTAAATAGACAGTTCATCCCAAACTGATTTCAACTTACCAAAATAAATACTTACAGAATCACGTTCTAGAAGATTGGCTAAATCCGTCTTCAATTGAAAGATGCAGGGACCGTTTTGCTTGGAAAAACGATCGTACAAGTCTTGCCAAAGCTCCTTAGCATCATCGACGAAGGCCACAGAAGATTTGAGGGAAGGGCTAATGGAGTTTTGGATCCAGGAAACAGTCAGATCATTGCACCTCTCCCATAGATCAAATAATGGATCTGTAGGAGAGGTAGGTTTCAGCAGGGTACCTGAAATGAAGCCGAGTTTATTCTTGGCCCTAAGAGCACGGCGCATGGCTCTAGACCATGTAGCATAATTATCAGAGGTGAGAAGGTCAGGAACGAGTGTAATGGCTGGATTATCACCGTGATCAAGGCGAAAAGGGTTAGAGGGACATGTGAAATTGAGGTATGAGAGATGGGTATTGGAGTTTAGGTGAGGATTAGGATTCTGAACTATGGGCGAATTGGGAATGGAAGGGATGGTGGAGTGGGGTGAGTTGGGTGGGGTTTCTGCGTTTGCCATCGGGGTTGCTCTTCAGTTGCTCTGATACCATGCAAGAAAGCACAGAAATGGAAATATGGGCAACAAGGAAACAGATGAGCAATATCGATGGAGAAGAAGGATCTGAAATGAATCCCCAAAAGGTGTACTGTTCATTAATGAAAAGGGAGAATATATACAGCCAGCAGTATAACCGCCTAACAACTTACTCTAATATCCTTATGACATCTGTAAAGTGTAAATACAAATGAAATGAAAAGAATACAAATTGAAATGAAATGAAATACAATCAGATACATATATCAGCATATTTAGGTGTTGGCTAAACTACAAGTCATTTGTCCAGTGTCTTCTAACATAATATATAAAGAAAATAAATATAAATTACATTTTAAGTATTAAAATTCATACTTTCTTAACTCCTGTTTCGCGAAAACTTGGGAACATCAATATCTATGAAAATAGGAAGCTTTCATTTATGATGATAGTATTGATGAGTATAACAAATTAGAGTTTGAAAGCCATGTTAATAATATATAAGTAAATTCATGCATATTATATAGGTATTCAATTTATAATTATTAATCATATGACAAAGATAAATTAAAGGAAAAAAAAAGGTCTATTTCGTATGACTTAAAAATATTTTTAGTTATTCAATTACAAAAAATGCGAAAGAATATTTTAATTAAATTACTAAAACTAATTTTAATAAAATAATATCAATTAAAATATCTAAACTAATGTAGGATGATTTCGTTTATATTTATGTAGTGATACTAAATATTCAAAGAAATATCAACAAAATTAACTTGCTAAATGCCAACTAAATTTGCATTAAAAAAAGAGAGAAAACATAGGAAATTTTAGGGTGCATTTGGTTTATTATTTTAGGTAGGATTTTGGGGATAGTATTGGATAGTTGAATAGGGGAGTATTACGAGATAAAATTTAAAAATTTATGAAAAAGCCCCCAAGGTTTGCTAATTTAATAAACACCCCAATATATTAAAATATTAGAAAATGACAAAAACACCCCTAACACCCAAAGTGCTAGATTCTGGCCACCATTGCCGGAATCTAGCCGGAAAATTGGATAACCACAAAATCTTGTTGGATCTGGTGGGTATTCGATCGATATGGCATTTTTCGACCATATTCACCACGGATCTGGTCGGAAAAGTCTAGATCTAGGCCGGATGTGGCCTTCGACGGCCGAAAAAGGCCAACTTTGGCCGTCAGCAACGGCCAAAGATATGGTTGTCGTTGTCTGTCAACGATGGCCATTTTTTGTCCATCACTGACGGCTAGATCTGGTCGAAAAAGGCCAGATCTGGCCATTACCGGTCATTTCTGGTGGTCGTGTTACTGTTGTAACAGATTCCAGCTACGACCGGTGGTGGTTGTTGGAATCTGGCAAGTATTGTGGGTGAGGGTGTTTCTGTTAATTTTTAAACTTTTTTCTGGAGGTATTTATGAGATTAATAAATTTATAGGGTCTAAAAGTAATTAAAAAATAGACTAATATTTTGAAAATAACGTGCCAACTAATATTTGAAGAATAGGATAGGGAATATAGATAAAAACAATAATCCAAACACACTTAGGTTTTACTGATGATAAAAGGATCTTTTAATCCGGTTTAACCGAACCGGTGTACGGAGCCGTGAGACCTAAGGCGTCTGTCCCTCTCCCCCTCCATTCTTCAATAGCGTATTACCTTTGATTCTGATCGCATCTGCCCACCTCTTACTCTCTTTCTCTCTCTCGATCCAATTTTAGTTAACTCACTCCTATAACTAAATCCTCACGTATTTCTTTTCTGAAACAAAAATCTTTAAAATATTTACCCCCAAAAAATAAAATAAAATAAAAATAAATTTCCACCAGTGGGCTCCAATGGAATCCGTATCGACCGCTGGTCCCGTCGCCGCAGACGATCATCTCTCATCATCATCTCCAATGGCAGTTATATCTAGATGGAGATTCAATGTATCGCAGCGGTACCAACACTTACTGGACAAGGCGGTACCACACATCCTCTACCGTTGGTTGGCCTGCTTAGCTGTGGTCTTCATCTACGCCTTACGCGTCTACCTTGTTCAAGGCTTCTACATCATCACCTACGGTCTTGGAATCTACATGCTCAATCTATTAATGGGCTTTCTCTCGCCGCAGATCGACCCCGAGATTAGCGACGGACACGGACCCACTCTCCCCACCCGTGAATCGGACGAGTTCAGGCCCTTCGTTCGCCGCTTGCCTGAGTTCAAATTCTGGTACGTTTGACTTTTTTCATTTATAAGTCTAGGGTTTTTGTTTTTTACTGGACTAATTTGGCATAATGAAGCCAAATATTGTATTGGAATTGATGATTGCTTGAAGTGCGGATGTTATGATGAGTGGCAAACTCTTAATTATTTCCTGATCATAGAGAAGCAGCTGCCTGTTCTTCATGAAATGATGATTTTATTGGATTGCTTAAAAGTTGGGGAGAAACTAATGAAGGTTTAGTTAGTATTTCGAGAACTATTTTTCGATAGTAGATTATAATTTGGAATTCTGGACACAATCTAGAAATGAGTTTCTCGTTGTTTTCAGATATTTATCTGGATTTTGAAATAATATTTGAAAACTGCTTTTGAAAGCACACCAATCAAATGCATTTCTTAACATTTATTTATTTATTTCTGTTGAAAGCACACCAATCAAATGCATTTCTTAACATTTATGTATTTATTTCTGTTTCGGAAAGGAGAATGTTTTCCAGATTTCAAATCAATGTGCTTTTTGCTTTTATTTTTTATTTGTGGGGAGCAGATGCTTGTAATTTTATGATATCAAAGAGGAAGGCATCAATTAATTTAGATTGAGAGCCAGACAGCAAAAAACAAAGAGATCGTGGCAGGTGTTGTGAAATTTCTAGACTGCTAGAAAATGTTTTATGCTAATGCTTGAAAAGTTTTACTTGTTGAGTAACTTAATAGGTGAAATATGTGGGGATTTCCAAAGAGTGACAGAAATTTGTATCAGGGAGTTTTTTTTTAATCCTCATGCCTATTGTAAAATTTGGATTAGTAACAAACAATGTGATTAGAAGCTTATTGAGGCTAAAAATTATGATGCATTAAATGAATTTTGAGATGGGGTATTATCTGATTTAGTTTGAATGCGGCAGAGGTGGCTGTGGAGACAATACGTGAGTAATGTGACTTGGTCAAGGAATTAATGATTCGAGTGTCTCTTTACTTCCATTTGTGTGTTGCAAGGCATTTGGACTAATTATGCCAATGTTGGGCCGGTTTTTGCATGAAGAATAATGTTTTATGATATAATTTTGTTGGTCTGAGTCAATATTCAGTCTGATGCTGCTTATAGGGAGTTACATGATTTAGAATACTTTTTCTTATGAATTTACTTATTTTACGATGGAAGCCTTTATCCTTGATTTTATGGCTTTCCTACTATTGAAACTTTTATTCCATTTATATTTACAAACTGTTCTATGCTAGTTCTTTTGCTGGTTGAATATACTATTGAAGTTTCTCTGTTTTTCTCCTTCAAGGTACTGTATCACGAAGTCCTTCTGCATTGGTTTTTTGATGACATTCTTTAGTGTGTTCGATGTACCTGTCTTTTGGCCTATACTCCTTTTCTACTGGGTGATGCTATTCACTCTCACTATGCGGAGACAAATCATGCACATGATCAAGTACAGATATGTTCCGTTCTCTTTTGGAAAACAGGTATTCTAAAATTAATCCCGCATTTCGATTGCAATTAGAATATTTTGTATGTTTCCCTGCTATTTATTAGTCAAGTACTTTTTCATTTGTGAATTAATGTTTGTTTTGTTATAATTTCCAACAGCGATATGGAAAGAGGGCATCCTCAAGTGACACCATTAGCCTTCCCAAGGACTAAGGTCAACAGGTAGTGGGAACTATCAACTATGTATGCTCCTCTTGGAGCCTGCGCATAGGTGGCCTAATTTATTATTATTATGATTATTACTATTTATCATTTTTTGGCATTCTCTAGTTGACAGCAGAAGCAGTTAAAGGATGTGGTGGTCATAATCAAGGACCAGTTTTGGCACACTGGATGATAGTTCTCTTCCTAGATTTTTACTTGGCAAGCTTTCAAATGCCCTGGTAGAAAATTTAGATTAGGGAATTAAAGCCGTTGCCAATTTCTTTCTTTTTATTTTGTATTTTCTTTCCATAAACAATCCTTTTGTATAGAAGGTACATGCTATATCTGTAGTTGCTTTGACATTGATCCAGTAACTTGTGCTTTAGAGAGGGGAATGACATCTTTTAAGTTAAGTTCAAACTGCCATTTTCGCCTTTAAGTATGTTTTACCCAAAATAAACACCAAAGGTCTCTCGAGCTGTAGGAGTAGGATGTTGTTTGCCCAATTGTTGATGTGACAGAAGTAGTAAGTTCTATACAATTATATAAAAGCTGTAAAACCTAGTTTAATTTTTAAAGGGGTCACTCTGTTGTCACCGGATGTGTTCACTACATGAAAGTTTTTTGGTGTTTAGTCATGGATTTTTTTTAAAGGATTACTGGTGAGATTGTAGATTTCTTCGTGCTGATAATTTGGCAAGAGCCCGTAGCAAGCATTTGCTATGTTTTCTTGGTCTGCAATGACTTTAAAGAAAACGAAAAATTGCATTTGACGCAAGAAAATGATGTCGGAGGCTGGAGTATTATATTGGCTATATGCATGTTTAAGTGGGTTTGGAACCAGGTCAAAATGCTAATATATTAGCTCACCGATTATCACGTAGTTTTGCAAGAAATGTATCTTATGAGGAAGAATAGCACGTGAAGCGTTGTATAAGTTTAAGAACAAAACAATTAAAACTGAACATAGATATCAAATCATCAATAAATGTCATTGAAGCAGACTTATACAAATACATTGAATCAATCGATCGCCTGTAGGCTAGACGCTGTGTAACCTTGCACAATGAATGGAAGAAAAAAATCTGGGTATAAAATTGAAGTCATTTAAGTGTCAAAAAACTCTTTTCAAACTCAAAAAAGAAGTTTTAAGAAAAGGGGCATACCAAATTCAAGAAGGTGGCCTGTAATAGCCATAAATTCCGTAGAAGGTCTGAGCAAAAGTAAGCAGTAACAACACAACAGCAGCAACAAATGAGATGATGGCCCAGGGATTGTTGAAGTAGTTATGTCTGAGACTTGCACGCCAGGCATTCCATCTGTGGTTGTAATATTGGTTTACATATTCTGACAACCGGGAAAGATAGCTATCATTGATATCAAAAACAACCTCTTCACAAAGGCGGTTGAAGAGATCTGCAACTTCAGCATCACTACCTAGCCAGTGTTCGATAATGCCACAGTAATGTAGGTATCCTACATCCTCGGGAGAGTTGATTAGATTGTCCATGAAGATAACGTATGATGTAATGTCATTGCTGCAATCAAGATGACACTGCTCAAATGCAATGAGGTTGAGGAAAAGTGACTTTGTACCATCATGAATAAAAAGCCTGGGAATACTTAGAATCCCGTTCTTGAATTTTATGTCCCAGAAGCGATCAGTCTTCCTTTTCCTGAATTTGACACCAGATTCTGTCAGTTCTGTAACGCAATGTATCAATTGTTGCCTTCTTTTATCTGCAACTCGATTTGCATGCGACCATCGTTTGATCCAAGCCTTTGGGGGTACAGGTTGAGGGCCTGAGCACAAGAGGCCTCTTCGAAAAACATCAAGACAATGAAGGCCACCTTGATCTGATAAAGGATCAAAGGTGTTTGTATATCCAAGCGACGACTCCAGTTTGCTTATGTCACCTTTTGTTAATGGCTCATCAGTTGGCGTTAATGGGTCGAAGAATCTGAGTGCTAGCTTCGCAACAAGTCCTTTCTGCTCTGGATAACCAATTTGAAGTCCAAGCAATCGATCAAGTATGAAAAGTGGAAGCTGATTCTCTAACATAATCATGTCTCTTTGAATTGAATGCATAGATCCACGCATAGCAAAGATAGGATCATTGCGTGGGTAACCAAGTTGCTTAAATCCCTCAGCAGCTCCTCTAAAGAGCTCAAGTACAAAACATCCATCAAGAACCAACATTTCAACAAATTCATTGCTGCTAAGACTAATAGGCCCTTCATAACAAGCGCGAACTCTTTCTTCGAGTTCTTTCATAGCATCAAGATAAATCTTTATATCCTGATTAGAACGCTTGAGGACATGGTGAAGAGAACGCCACTTATGGCGATCCATTTGGCGTAGACGTCTCTTGCCATGGTGATAAGGCCCCAAGGACACCATCTGGGGAATATAGGCTCTGTCATCTCCTTCTCTTAGGTGTTGTGGGACTTTGTATATGCTCAACTTTTCCCATGAACCTTCTTCATCATCTTGGTGAGCTTGTTCAAGTTTTTCTTTTATGGATATCACCCATTCATCCTCAGAGTTTTCATCACCATCATCTTCGATCACAATGTTCAGGCTTTCTGATGGTGTCTGCTCTTGTTTCTGCTGCTGTTCTTGACTTTGTTCTGGCAATTCAAGCAATCCATTCGAATCAGACGTTCTTGGAATTCCAGATTCTACTGTTTCTCTGAGCTTCAGGGTAATGAGATACCAACTTAAGAGCTCTTTGTTGAACACAGCCACCATTATTGGTCCTGAATTAGATAGATGTGATCGGGCATGCCACACAAGAAGCAGAAACACAACACAGTTTTTTATTCCTCAAAAGCAAAACAGACCCCAAAATGGTATAGTTGTTGCTCAAATTAAAAGATATTAAAAGGTGTGGAGTATGCATTATTTATTATTCATTGACCAAAACCAATTATGTTGCTTGCTTGCATGGACCCCCTTGGCTTTGAATATCCATTAATTTTACATTACTTTTAGCTGAGATGTTTAGTTCTTAGCTTTAACGTGTAATTTTTAAATTATGTTATGCAAACTTTTTCCCACTTAACCAATGTAGAGCTCCAAAAGATGAGTGTATCTAGAGTTCCGCAAATTGAAAGGCAGATAACGCAAATTTATAAAAGTGTTCAATACTCTTATCTTTATAATATCTTAATCACAAAAGTGTGATCTAATTGATGGTGTGGCAAGCCGCATAAAAAATTGGGCTTCTTTTTCGCATGTGCAAAATGAAACAACAACATATCATGTGAGTTCTGTTTCGGCAACTAAATAATATAAGATGGTAGCCTTTCTCTGTTTTTTTTAGGTATACGAGGTATCCAACCCACCACGAAACCCCCTACGACTCGAACACAAGACCCATTGGGTTTAGCCAACCTCAATAACTAAAGAGTTTGTTATCCAACCATAAGGGGAGAGGTCCCTTCTCTGTTTTACCATGCTACGGAATAAGATAAAGTGTTTTAACTTTGAATCTATCATCAGTAAGATACATGTATTTGATTAAGTCCCTTCTAATCTACCCTGTGATTTTCAAAAGAAAAATGATAGATAAATAATTCAACATTTGATTGGTTGAAATTTCAATGACGTATTAAAATGATCTTCTCAAAGTTGTACTCATCTTTGTGAACTATAAAAAGTTTCAATGAGAAAGACTTCTAATTTTAATAACATATGATCTTCCTCAAGAGGAAACCAGTACAAAGAGACCATCAGAGTATTGAGAGTTTATTGAGTGTACATAATTTGTAGCTTTTATCTTACACCTTAATTTGCTTCCTTCGTTGGTTGTGAAGCTGACTTTAGCAACCACCTTGTAAAATATGTTAAGTATAAAAGATGTCATTTCCTTTCATTCATGCCTGTAGTCAGCGAGACGATCATGACCACATCAAAATAACCTAATTGATAAGAAGAAAACCAGACGGCTAAGAACAAGGTCCCATTAAAGACTCACCTGCTGATGGTTAATAACCACATGGGCTCCCTCTTCTTACAAGTCGTTTTTTAGAATAAGTTATACAATTTTGTGGTTGTTACACATAATGAAAAGAAAAATGAAAAAAACTATAAGAAAGCACAATAAAAAGAGATAAACAAATTTGAAAGGAAATGACAATTGAATAGATAGATTATCACAACAATATGAGTCTTTTTGGGCGCGGTTGACAATTGAGAAGCTATGTACAACAAATATCACCAGATAAACATCAATGGCCTGCTCTACTCATCAGCTCAACTTAGACCAAGAAGGATTAAAGGGCATGAATTAGAATCAACCAAGAGGAAACTATTAACTTAATTAAGCATACTTTTATTTGCAACTTTTATCACTTTTGTCTTTTTTCCTGGTTCATATCGATCAGCCATAAAGACTTTCAAGCACTGCTGATCTTTCCCTCAGCGGCTTCATTAGCCCAGTAAGGCTTAGCTGGATTTGAGCTATTCTTGACAGGATAAGAAGCCTCCATTGCAATACCACATTTGCCGGTATATGTTTCCACTATATTACGCTGCAATTTTATGTATCCACTCTCACCCCAGTCAGTGCCCCATGAATTCCTCACAAGCCAGTAATCCTCTCCATTCTCTGTGCCATATCCAACTACCACGACACCGTGGTCTAGTGCTGATCCACACTCTCCAGTGAACACACCCTGTTAAAATCAAAAGGGAATGACTCAGTTGCATTTTCTCTCTAAAGAAATCTTTCATAAAAAAAAAAGGAAAGAATGGTTAGCTTACAGAGTCGTAGAGTTGGAAAGCCATGCCACTAGCTTCAATGGCAACACTAACAGGTTGATGTGCCACAGCCTTTTTCAAGGACTTCTCATCGAAAGGAAGTACATCCTCGTACCCATCAATGCTAACAACCTTGGCATTCTCCTGCAAGAATGAAAAATTCATTGAAGATTAATACCAATTAGAGAAAGTAAAAATAGTTGTAACAATTTTAGTTGAAAGCATAGTACAAACCCGGACAGAGTCGCATTTGGTGTCATAGCCAAGGTAAGGATAGTCTTGTTCAGTGTCCATGCCACCATTGTCGATGATGAACTGGAAGGCGTAGTCCATGAGACCTCCATTGCATCCTGCGTTGTATGCTTTGTCACAGTCTACAAGTTCTTGTTCTGACAGGGAGATTAGCTCCCCAGTCACTATCTTGTTTATTCCTTCTACTGCTGCTACTGTTGAGAATGCCCAGCAACTTCCTGCTCACCACATCAACAACATTTATGGTCAATAAAAACATGTGTGGTGTTTTTAATTTCTACAGATTGGCAAGTTAAATCAGTGGGCTGTGGTGCAGGAATAGGCAAGTCTAATCCAAAACGCACAAGAGATTGAGAAAATGTCCAGTTTAGGTCAAACTCATATTTGGATGGGCCAGAGCCCAAATTTGAATTGACGTGCGGTACCCCTCAAATTTGCAAATTTGACAATATGATCAAGTGGGTAGATGTATAATACCCTAAACTTTTGGACCACATATTAATTTTGCAAACATGAAGGGCACCGATGGATTTAATCCTAAACTAAAAGTGGTGACCTGTAAGAAAGTTGAATAGAAACCCACGTGGATTCCAACCGAAAGTCTAAACCTGCCATTCTAGTATTAACTACCATTCTGCCGCCCACAAACACTTGTTCAACAATATTATTAAAAAAAAAAAAAGAAAAAAGAATTTTGTTCATTTTATTCAATAATTTAAATTGGTGTCCATCATCCATAATTTCTTTTTCTGAAAAAAAGGCAATCTAATATTTTGAAAATTAAAGAAAAATAAATAACTTGTTGAGAAAGATAAGAATATATACCACAACTTCCTTGATCTTTGATGGGGCTAACTGCACCCTGTTCTCTCCAATCTACAGATTCCGGCAAAGTTTCACCTGCCTTAAAAGCGTACCTTTGACTGGCAACTTTAGCCTTCATGACTCTACGCTTAGCATCACTCTTGGTACCCAAATAAATGGCACGGTATTCTTCGTTTGTTAAATCGGCAAACCTGTTCAAACCCACCTTGTACGTGCGTTTTTGTGAGTTGTGTTCATCAATGAATCTCAAGTTATCTTTGAATATTTGAAGCCTCCTCTCGTTCTCTCCTATCCCGTTGTAAGCTTTTCCATGCTTGGCGAGCCATGACTGATAGATGCTCATCACCTCATCGTCGCTTCTCCAGTTTGACTGCTCATGCTTGTTGTCGTAGGTTATGATGGACATGTCTGTGGCGGATGTGAAGGTGAAGAAGAGGAAGAGGAGACTGGAGATAGCTAGAAACATGGTTGATGTGCTTGGAGAAGATTTGTAAAGGGCCATTTTGTTCTTCAACAGATGAGAGAATGAAGAGGATGGTGGAGAGGAGGAGAAAGTTTGATGAGTTTATAAAGAAAAATAAAATGATTTAATAATCAAAGAGTTTGTTGAATGATTGAAGGTAAAATGTAAAAATGTGACATGTGTATAAGGATTTAAGACCATTAAAAAAAATAAAGTTTTAATTTTACACCACTGGATATGAATAATATAGGACAAGAGGTCTAGATACGGTGAGGCTTTGTGGAAATACAAGAACAAGACGGATCCTTCGGGCATGGTAATTAGTAATTAGTGAAGTAATTCAATTATGAGGAATGGGAGAGCAGAGGAAAGTCATCGTTTTCAGGGTTTCAACAAATGGGATTTTGCCACTTGTGATGTGTTTTTGGGTTCCTTAGAGCTGGGCCTGGGGGTTTGGCCTCACACCCGCTAGTCAAACTCGAAGTTCGTGCTACCGCCCACCAGATAAAAAAAGTTTTGGTCCAATAAGAAGAATATGAAAAAGGTAAAATTGATTTCAAAAAAGCAAAGACGGTTTTGTATCAGAAATGCATGTGCTCGTCTGAGATAAATTTGATTGATGAATTGCTATAGAATATTCACAGTAGTGGGCTCAATACGTGAATTAGATTTGGATCTCTGCCTCCGATTCAGTGCAATCTATTATCATGGAAAGGAGATGAATATCTGTCTGCTAAATTTAGAATTTCGAGTTCCCTTACAGTTGCGAGTAGCGATTCATAATTGCCTGCTAGAAAATGAATCAGTAATCGTGTGGGCGTCATAAACAATTCAATACACCAACTTCAGTGGATGGATTCTAGAGATTAACTTTCTTGATTTTACAAAGTTTGAAGAGTTGCACTGTGGAATTGGATAGAAAAACAATGGTATGGGTATGGGCAGGAATTGTTCCTATTGAGTTGAGGATTTAGAATTATTGGAAGTAAAAGAAGAGGTTTGAATAGATAAGGTGTGACGTTTTGTAAATAGAGATAATTGAATGAATATTTAATGGGATCCTAGGGAATCTCCCTCCTTATCTAAGGGTGTGAGAATTGGCCGGCTCTGAACAAGTTGCATGATTCTTCTCAGGCTCAGCAGATAACTTATCCACAGGTCAACCTCAATTCTCAACTTTGAATGTTAGACCCAACTAACAGTCACAAAGAGCAAACTCCTCTAAACTACTTCTGCCCACCCAGTTCCACAGATTTCGCAAGATTCTAATCCATTGTATACGTATGCTATTGATAACAAAGACAAACAATTAGGAGGCGTGTTCTTAAATATCTTCAATATAAATTTTTTTTTGTTTTCAACTTTTGTTATGGGCTAAGAATGGCCGAGAAAATGAATGGTAACTTCATCGAGGAAACTGACGGCTGACTCAGCTTCCACATGCTTCCTTCTCTATTCCGGTCGGTGGATTGGATTCAACCCAGAAACTGAAGAGAAATGTTATAGCATACTGGCAACTGGAGGTTTATCTCAAAGTATCCCCTAATTTCAGGGGAAGGGTTTGCTGGCTAGTGGCTCCCCATAAGTCACACAGTACAAGGAATAATTATATATTTTCTTATAGCAATAAATGAAATAAAACTTATTACAAGGGGGTTGATTTTTACTAACGAGTAAATATAGAATGATAAATATTTTTCACAAACATCAACTTGCATTTGAATAGACATAATCTATTGTTAGGTAAGTGGAATTCATTACGAGTTGACATATCGTGTTTGTAAGATAAAGTTAATGAAAAATGTTTGTAAGTGTAGTACTAATGTTTACTAAATTCATCAACCCAACACCATCCTAATCCTAGAAGAAGTATTGAAGCATTCCAGCTCAAGCATATTTCAGCAACTTCACTCCAACCCAACCATACTTCAGTAGCTTTATTGGCTTCCAGCTCCACATTGAATAGTCAAACATAATTAATTGTTTTAGTTAGCAAAAGTTAGTTTGAAGATTAGTTTAACAATAGTTAGTAGGGCTGAAAAAACAAAAAAAACTGAAAACCAAACCGAATTGAAAAATGTTTTTTCAGATTAACTGATTCGATTTTAGTTTTTAAAAATGATTAAACTGAATTTTTGGCTCGATTAACGATTCAAGGATAATATTAAACCGGTTATTTAAAAAAATAATACCCCTTTTTTCCCTTACTTTTTCTTGGTATTGGGAACGCAGAACTGCAGTCTGCTTCTCTGCGCATTTTCTTGGGTTTGCTTCTCCATCCAAATACTTTTTTTTTTTTTGTCTTCTTCTCCTTTCATTATTTTCTCTTTCTTCTTCTCCTTTCACTGCTTTCACTTTCTTTTTTTCAGTTTTTCTTGGCATTTTCGTCTTCTTCTCTTCCTCTCCTTCACCAATTTCTCTTTCTTTTTCGTCTTCTTCTCCTTTCACTTTTCTTTTTTTTTTTCTTTTTCTTCTTCTCCATTTCTTCTCTTTCACTGCTTTTCTGTTTGGATTTGGATAAAAGGCGAGAAGAGAACGCCATGATTGGACTTCAGCCTTCTTCTTCTTCTTCGATGGTTTGGTAGATTTTCAGCTTTAGGGCATGTTTGGAAGCTCTGTGTCTGCTTTTTTGTTTATAAGATGTCTCAATGAGACTAAGTGAGACTGATTCTGTGCATCTCTTCTTGTGTTGGTTTGTGTAAGCGCTGGATTCTGATTTGGGGTATTTGAAATTGACGGCTTTTTGAGGCACCCATTTCATGTCTTGCTATTCTAAAAGGGCAATTTCAAATTTTATTAAAATCGGTTTATAAACCGTTAACCGATAACTGAATCGAATTATCGGTTCGGTTAATAATCGATTCAAAGGATAATTCGGTTTGATTTCGTTTGAATTTTCCTTTGAACTGAAAAATCGGTTCAAAAATATGTAATCCGGTTTGGTTAACCGGATTTCCACACCGCTGACAGTTTTACTTAGTTAAGACTGTTACTTACGTTAGTTACTGCAGATGAGTTGGTATAAAAGGCTGTTGTATAATGAAATCCATTTTTCCCTAAATCCTCTCTCCTCAAAAATCTAATAAGAAGATTATGTATAAAATTTGAAGCATGTCAGATACAAGCTTTCCTGCAAGGTTACAAATGTGGCAGGTCTTAGTTGACATGCTCTTCCACGAAAAAAAGAGTACCAATCAGTAATCACCCCAAAAATAAAAAATAAAAAAGAAAATAAAATAAAAAAATATGTAATGCTTAGGAGTAACTCTCAAACTGCAAGAGCACGTATCCAATGGCCAACTGCAAGATTTGCCCAGTCTTGTGTACACCCCCAATTGGTATGAACCGCCGCACGTCCCTCTCGGGAATTAAATTTCTTGGTGCTAAAGGCTAGCAGTACTCTAAATTCACACCGCATATTTATATTGCTAATTATATCCTTGGCTAATTTTTCAGTTTTGTTCAGAATGCCTTGAAGAAATCTGTGGGTCTATCACTTTTGCTTCATGCTTTCTCTTACTTCGAGAACTGCGTCTTGATCTAGGTGTTCGAGTCTTTGCAGTATGCTTCACTGTATGCTCTTGCTCTTGGACGCCCATCACTACCTTTTCAGTAGATGGGAGTTCAGGAGGGGCATCCGGCCATGGTGTGTGTTTTGATGGGACAGTAATCTCCAATGGTGGGTCAATTATCCATCTGTACAAAATACAAATTAATAGTTAGATAACGCACTGAAAAACACATGTTGGACAACTTTCTGAGGTGCTAAAGGTTGTAGAAGAAGATAAAGATACAAAGTTTCTCATAACTCATCCTGTTATTGAAAATAAAGATACAATTTTTGTGCTCATGCACTAGTGCATCAGAATGAAGATATGATTCCCGAAGGAAAAAAATTGTTCCATATTTCTTTTTAGTTTATTCCTAATTGATTTTCAAATTACCTTCAGATTCAATGAATGGACATATAACAATACATATGCGGAAGTCGCAATAATTTTTTGATGATAGCAGAATTATTGACTCAGCAGTAAAAATTAGTCTTAATGACTCTTAATACATATAAATCAGCACAAAGACTGGCATCAAGTGACAAGGACTGAAAAGCATCGCCCTCATTCCAAATGTAAGGAAGATTGGTGAGTGATTGCCCTTGGGAGAGAATTGAGAAGACTATATTTATCATCAAACTAAAAAAAATGAGACACTTCTGTTTACAACAAATAACTCTGGGTGTGTGCTATGTTACATAAGTACAACCACTGAACTATGCACAAAGAGGTAATTTGTGAATTCATAATGCACACAGAAAATTGATGTTAAACATACTTACATGTATTAAGAGTCATTAAGACCACAATGAATTCACCATATCCTATGTAATGCACCACATGTAATGCAAAATACTGATGCAGCCACCATGATGCATCAAAATTTTAAGATGAGATTGATAGCAGTGAACCTTCAGTTTGGAGGATAAATGCTTTACTAGATTTTTGCTTCTACAATTGAAATGTTATTCAACCATGCAATTTGATCTAGAACTACACGTGCAAACACAAGCCGTGTACAGTAAGACAGTTGTAAACTCTAGCAACTATGTCACACACAAGTTTCTTAATGAACCAACCATCAAAGCTTCCCAGATACCTCCACAGTAATGTTGTTTGACATCAAACTGGCAACACACAGACTCTACTCTCACATTACCATATGTTTGCATGCACACACTCATATGTTTTAACCTAATTACAATATTGACCCACATTTATCCAACATTATGCTTTCTCCCATAGGAAAGAAGAAATCCAAAACAGGGAGACATTAATAATTTGAGGAACCCTCTAGTCCCAATACATTTGCCAAGGAGTCCTCCTTAATCCAGGGGTAAGCTTCATCTTCCTGTTGACACTGTTGCAAGGTTTCTTCTCCTAAAGTCAGCCCAATAAACTGAGTTGATCTATAAATAAATGCAGGGTTGAGAAAAGCCCAATTAACCTGAATTTACTGAGTTCAAAGAAAAGCAACAAAAGAAACTCCAATTGATAGAAGGTTATGCCTTGAAAAATGTGCTACCAAGCTATCACAAGATATGCTGTCATCAAACTACCTGAATATATTAATGGCTGTGACATGTCACAAGAAATTTTTTAGAGAAAAAAAAAAAAAAAAAGGATGCCATAATGACAATTTCCCAACCATTACACTAAGGGCACCGGTGTTGAAATGAAAGGTATATCCCATTTGGACAGCAAATAATAGCATAATTTAACTTGCCACAAAGAGCATCTTCAATAGTCAAAAACTGGCTGTTCAATGAACAAAATAACTTGTGTCTATAAGCATCATAGCTTTGCAATTTCTATATTGAGTGTATCATGGGCAGATAGAAATTCAGTAAAAAATCAACAGACATCCTACTTGTTCTCAAATAGGCATCGGGGTAACTGTCAGATATGTGGACATGTGACTTAAGAGTGTAAAGCATTGGTTATTAGCTTCATTGATGTTACCTACCAATAAAAGGTCTGGCTCAGGATGACCTTCTAATTGTCCCAACAGGATCAACTGATGACTTCCACCACATCAAGGTGACACTCTACGGCTAAGTTATATTCCTTCCCTACCCCCACCAAGAAAAGGAAATAGAACTTATTAATCCTAAGGCAAAGAATTGAGAAACCCAATGCTTTCTATAAGAGGTAAAGATCATACATGTGCAACAAGGGGATCTAATGGCAACTACCTCAGCTAAAGATACAATAACCTTTTCTTATTATTGAAGTTAACAAAAGAAACCAACAGTTAGGCGAGTGTGGCAAACAAGCATGGAACATGACAGATCGGAACACTATGTCTTAGCCCTTGTAGAGCAATACAATTAAGATTCTACTCAAAGAATCAGCTCCATTCAGTAAACAAATCTACCACAAATTGTAACATAGGAACACTTGAGATCTACTTGATAACCAAAACCAAATTTGATTAACACCCCGTCCACCAAATTTTTTGGCTTAATGAATAGTCTGATTTTATGTCCTGTGTTTACTTTCTAGTAGACCCGGTTATCAAAGATCAAAGAAAACAAACACTGGACATCTAAAAGGATTTTGCACCACTAAGCATAAACCACATTGACTTTAATACTTATTCATGAAAATACATAAAATAATCACTTATTTGTATTAGAATCATTGGGAAGCACATATAGTGCAGTAGAAAGAACAAAAGATTGAGGACTCACCTCGGAGGGAACTTGCTATCAGCACGAGCTTCAACACGAAGCCACCAAATTAAAACTTGGCGCCCACAACTTCCAAGCGGCTCCACCACAGAATGGTCCTTCAGCAGCGATAGCGGACTCTCTATATCCTCAACCTTATCCAGTAAATCCAGATCATTCACCCACTCTGGCTTATCTTCGGTTTCTTTCCAAAGCAACCTGGAACTCAAAACAAACCCAGCCCATTCCAGCTTCCTGGGAAGCACAGTTGCCCTATCATCAATGTAAGTTGCACTTTTCCCAGCATATGGCAGGGAATTAAAAGTGTGCCAACCAACCAACTTATTGGATGCGTTACAAGCTGGTCCTTGAACAGGGACTGGTGAGCTCCCTGCACCATCCTCTTTCTCCTTCGCTGTTAATGATGAGTCATCTGGATCTTCCGAATGGGCAAGAATTCCAACCGAAACAGCACCAAACCATTTCACATTTTGAATTTCATCGAACAGCTCCATACTGTGCATATTACTATCATCCGCAAACATAACAATCCCATCCAGCTTCTCTTCTCTCACAACTCTGTTCCATCATAGACCTACTAAATTAATTCACATTCTAATAACATCCTAAATACTCTGCCTAAGTCAAAAGAAAACAAACTAAATACCGCAATATTGAAACAAATCATCTTGATTAAATTTCTCAACATTCATTTCCATCTGCTAGAATCCATTTTCATTCATTAATTACAGCTCTCACCCGATATAAAAACCATAAAATGCAACGTTAACTAATTCTTTTCACTCAATTTCAACAATTATTTGAGTTTAATTTTTGCATATGATTAAATTTAACACTAGGCAAGAATTAACAAGAATCAAAGCCAATATGTGAAGCAAAAAGTACTAAGAATTGACCTCAAAGCGCGGAGCCGCATCTTGGCCTCCAATTTATGTCTTTCCTCCCACGAATTGGGCATTCTTTGCTTAATTCCAACATGAATGGTCCTCAATTGAGACTTGGCAATCAAAGACGCCGTTTCGTTGGTCACTCCACCTGCCTCTACCACGATCCACACCAGATCGTACGGCACCAGCATGAGCGAGTGGATCACACCAGTCAAATGAAGCGTTTGGAATGTCCTTACATAAGTAGGAGTCACCGCAATCACTGTTCTCGGATTTTTAACTCCAAAATGAGCTCTCTGCTCTTTCTGCACTCTCTCGATTAATCTATGCGCTTTCATCACTTCCGTCGGGTTAGGGTGGGGCCACGGCCGGATCAGGATCCCATGCCGACCCACCACCACTCTCGAGTTCGTACTCGGCGTCGTTTTGTTCGCAACCGGAACTTCAACATTATTCGTAACCATCGGATTCGAAGACAGAACAGTCGTCGCGAGGTCAGTAGCCGCGTTTCGAAACGGCGCCGTGTAGAAATTGGTTGTAGTTGCGGAAGTTGAGAAGATGAAGAAAAAGACCAAGCGAGAAAAGCGGTAACCGAGAACCAAGCTGATTAAACAACAGAGACCATGAAGGACGAGCCAGAAAACGGCGGCCGGCGACTTGATCGCACTGTCGGAGGAGGAATCCAAGGGAGCTGATCCTCTGAAGCTATTGCTCCGGCGACTCAAGTAGCTCTGATGCAACGCGGAGAGCTTCATGTTTAGGGTAGGTTCCTCCGGATAGAGAGAGAAAGGGCTTGGTGGTGAGGTATTTGATTAGTGGAGTTAAGTTGGTTAAGGGTAAAGTGTACTTTAATCAAATGATTACTTTAGGCTCAAGAGTTGGTGATTGTTCGTTGTTTTGTTGATTAGCAGCTATCTGCTCTGGTACAGTGACGATTGAAGAAAGGGACATTAGCCCTTGAGGTTGAGGTTGAGGTTGAGGTAGGGCCCAAGTAGCTTAATTTTTCGGGCAGGGAAGCCTTTGCCTTTCGTCTCTGAAATCAATCACCAGATGCTCGTGTATGATTATAGTCAACGTTTTACTGGTAATATACCAATACTTGACGAGACGAGAAGACAGTTCAAGCCATGGTTACTTTCTTACGCGTTTCATTTGTTGTATTATTTATTTGTTTTTATTTTTTTACCACCCGTTCCCTACCTATTTACTTGCGAATTATTTTAACTAATATTTGAAACCTGAAATTGGCAAATGGGTAAATTTATTCCATAATCACTTCTATTAACAATCAAAGTGAATTAAATTAGTCATATTTAACTATTAACTAGGTGGTTATTTTGTCATATTATTTATTACTGGTGTAAAAAGGAATCAGATTCATTTTGGTATGAATTAATTACATTAATTCTATTGTAAATAATATCTGATATTAGACTGAGTTTAATGGTATTGAAATTCTGATTAGGTATGTCAATAATTTTCTTGAATTATATAATATATGATATCTATTTAATTTACTGGTATGAATGAAATTAAATGAAGAAATTTAGTTGGAAAGGAGGATATATGTTTAAGAATTGGAGCATGAAAATGTGGGTAGTGGACATGTAAAGGTGTAGGTTGTGAATTATGTTATTGTTTTTACTTTTTAAGTGGCATTAGGGGTTGTTAAGCACTAACTATAGTTTAAGGAAGAATTAAAATTTAAATGACCATTAGGAAAATGGTCAATGATCAATCAATTAAAAATCAATTTGGCAATTTGGAGAAGTTTAAGCCCACACACACACACACACACACACACACACACAGAGTATATATATATATATACTCTGTGTGTGTGTGTGTGTGTGTGTGTGTGCGCCTTTAGTTTAGGGAATGTTGGATTATTGGGAATGTTAGATTACTGGAATCTTATATTATCTTGAAGATTACTGAGAATCTTTAAGGTCTGCTTGGAAGTTTTTTTTTCACTGGTTTTGAGGTGTTTAAAAACCTCACTTGCCAGATTTTTAATAGTCTAGTTTTGACTGGTTTAAAAACCCCCCAAAACCAGTGTAGTGTATTTTTGAGGGTTTATAAAACACCCCAAATCGGGGTGTTTTGACTGGTTTAAAACTTTTATCCCTAAAAAACCCATTTCCACTCCCTTTGCTGCACACAAATCTCTCGCTGCTATTGACTTCTCTCTGCACACAAATCTCTTGCTGCTGCACACGAAGTGAGTGAATGGTTTTAATTTGCTGGACAAAAATCTATTTGCTGCACACAACTCATTTGGGTTTGTATTAGATTCTCCTCACTTCTAGCAAATTACACGTCAACTATGTCCAATAGTTTCTTTCTCCAAAAATCCTTTCAATAATAATAATGTATTAACTATTACATCTTCTCAAAACCTAAAAAGAAAAAGTTGTCAATTCACTAGCTATTTAAAAACCACCATTTTCAACGCCTCTTAAGCAAACCGTGTCCAGTATTTGACCGCAATCTGTTTCTCCCATTTAACTTAATTTACAATCTTTCCTTTCTTTTCAAATTTTATTTGCTTGCTATTATTCTTCACAGGAGTCAAAACTATGTCCAGCATTCCAATTCGATAATTATAGCATCTTCTACTCTTACTAAATCGGATAACCATGACACAGACTAATGATAATGGAAGTAAAACCCAAAACCAGATGTTAAATAAGAAACATAAGTACAACTTTGTAAAGACACCTTTTTCACAAGACTGAGTAGCTGAAAACATGCAAGTCAAATTTATAACTTCAAAGTTAATTAAGCAAAAGAGAGAGTGTTTTAACTTTATGAGCATTTATGTAAATTTATCATTTAAAAAAAAAAACTGTCAGAACAGTTGGAAAATAAACTCCCAAGCATAGGTTGGGTGTTTTAAAAGCCTCTACGGTGGTTTACCTTCAAAACCGCTACGATAGTTTACCCTCATAACCGCTACCATAAAACTCCCAAGCAGACCTAAATGTGTTTTATTAGTTGATGAGTATGTTATATTAATATGTTTGGTTAGGGGGAATAAATTGGTGGGTATGCTATTTAAATTACTAAATTGCCTTCTTTTTAAAATATTAATATAATATTACTTTTATTATTAATTTTTGAATCATTTTTTTAACCCCCAATATTTCAGATTTAGTTAAAACACCCCTGCATATATAAAACTTTAATTTATGACAAAATCACCCCCACCCCTTGCTGCCGCCACCGTAAACCACCGTCGAAAGTCGCTGAAAGTCCCCGTAAGTAGCTCACCGTGATCGCGAGGCTCCAATATGGTCGTTTCTAGTCATACTGATTGCCGAAAACGGCCAGATATGGCCTAATATGACCTTTTTCGGCCATCAATATGGCCAAAAACAGTCATAGCGGAGCCTCCCAACGACTCTCGGTCATTTTAGGGACTCCGATGACTTCCCGACGGCGGTCCATGGTGGTTGGCCCGCTATCGGTGGTGGTGGGTGGGTGGCGGTGGTGGTGGTCTGTAATTTGTTTTAAATATAAGGGCATTATTGTCAAAAAACTTAATTAAATAAGGGTAAAATTGAAATATTATATTAATGTAAATTGATTTTAAAGCAGGGGCATTATTGTCCAAAATTTTTATTAATAAGGGATAAAATTGTAACAAAAATAAGATTATCTTGATAATCTTACAATACCTAAAAAAATTGAAGTAATCAGATTATTTTCAATATTACTAACAGTAACAACTATTGGTAAAACAAGATTACCGAAATCTTATATTATTTGACAATCAAACATAGTAATCAAGTAATATAAGATGACATAGTCTCAGTAATCTTAGATTACCTCTAACCAAATGCCTCATATTATTTTACCATATACTTAATGCCCGACTAAACTAACTTGTGCATAACAAGTTTAGCCCACCCGACTGCCATTGGAACAATGAAATAAAATAGTTGGAATGTCTGTGTGTTGGGAATAGGAGTGGAATGTCTGTGTGTTGGGAATAGGAGGTGACTTTGAAATTTTGAAATGGACTAATATGTAATTAAAGTACGATTATCAACAGGCAAGGTTTGCTTCACAAATTACTAATTTTTCCTTTATTATTTAATTAAATTATATCGGTTATCTGTCAACTGATTTTAATCACCTAGAAGAAAAGTTTATCCAGAAATTGACTAAATTTAATTTTATATTTTTATTTCTTTTTTAAGAAACAGTTCTACTGATAGCTCCCGGACAACTTGGAGACGTTGTGTTCATTCAATTGTATTGGTTTCATGTATACTTGCAAGTTGCAAATACTTTTGGCGGTTCTAATATTTTATTTAAAATGTTGCTTTCATTTTAAGTTACATTATAATTATAAGTATACACATTATTAAACCAAACATTGTTTTATTTTATAGATATAAACACCTAAGGTGGAGTAGGAAATGGATAAAATATTTGGTGGAAAGCTATTGAACCAATTGATGAGTTATTTCCTTTAAATTGTGGCAATCTCGCTACTGCTCATTCCATTCCAAAACTAAAAGTTTCCTTTTAAATAATGAAAACATCTCAGAAAGTAAAGAAAGAGTTAGATGGTTACTCAAATAATTAAATTTGTGTATAGTTATGGCATGCAAAGGGTACAATTTTTTTAACAAAAACACGACTATTTAACTACTTTGTACTTTGGAAATGGGTCAATTGGGTTTAATTTAGGCCCAAATATTTTGACATTTTCAAGATGTTGATTGATGCTTATGCCTCTTTATTCAAGAGAATTAGTTGAAAGGTTGAAATCATTGAATTTAAAATTAAATATTATTTGCTTAATAGTTTTTAAATAATTAAGTGCTTTTTAAATAATTATATATATTTTCCTTAATGCTCACCCTTCCTTGACTTCAATTCCAATTTCCAAATAATAAGTTATCACATTATCTCATCTTATTCTTATATAAATTAAATATTAGAAAACGCGTAATTTAGAATATAGTATTATTTAAAAAATATCACATAATATCATTTTATGTTATAAACTATTGTTAAATCGGATTTCTTTCTAGTCTATAGTAAAAAAAATTGCTATGAATACAATTTTCATTATGAGAATTAAATATATTATACTAATTTAAAACTTAATGTTGAAGATTCATGTACTCCACGTGATTTTTTTTTTTTAAATTAAAATGTGATTTACTTGCAAATTGTTGGGATTAGGTGAGATCACGAGAAAAATGATATTTTTTTTAATTCCAAGGGTCCTTAAATTAGGTACTTGTATGGGTCAAAACTCATATTGGGCCTAAATAAACATATTACAGCTCAATGTTTTAGCTTAATTTTGATTGGGACTATGTTTAAATCCACTTTCTGAATTGACCACTCTATGAATTGGTCTATTCCACTAGTTAAGCTAAATCGGGTTCTAGCCCTTAGCCCACAACAGTCCCATAATAGGAATTAGAATCCTATTTACTTTCTACTTTAGTCAAGATTCAAAATCTTACTTGAAGTGGTAACCCTAATCCGATAAAGGCAAGTGATAACACTTCCTTCCTAATTGAGACTCAACGTTCTATTAGGACTCCAACCTTTTTGGTTTACTATATAAACAAAGGCCACACCTCTCATTATGGATTCAGAAATCACTCATAGTTTTAGTTCCTAAATTCTTGCTCCTAAGAATGATCGTTTTCCTCGTCGTAAAGCTTAGTTTTGACTAACTTTACAACCTTTAGCCACCGCAAAACTATGCTCTGCTCTCAGCCTTCACTAAAATACATTCAACAGTGCTGACTTAAGCGTCAAAGTGCCTACGCCAAACACTACACCAATGTCACCCAAGCCTTCAAGTTCGCTCTTTCTTTTTGTGCAAGTCCATCAAATTGTCAGTGGCTTGTTTCTCACAAGATCCATCACTTTTGAATCAACTATAGATTTTATCGTCTATAGTTTGACACCCACCATGTGGCCTTGACAATCTTTCGACTACCAATGACCTGTTTCATTTGCTCTCATTCCCTCAACTCAACCATTATGACTAGAAGTACTAAAACCTCTACAGTTGATGTCGCAACTCAAATCGCTGCTCTAACCATACTTGTGCATGAGAGCAATGAC